CTGGAAAGCCCCATTCTGAGCAGCTCACACAGGGTGGGGACAAGAGAGGCTTGTGGGTGGGTTCCTGTAGAGGCGTGGGGCTCTCAGCTGTAGCCCTTGGAGCCTCAGTCATTTCCCTTCCCCCGCCCACCCAGCTGGAGACCGTGAGGTTTCATCACAGCGAAGTTGTTGTCCTTATAAGGGAAGGCCCTTAGAGCTGCAGTAGCACTCTCTGCCCTGGCCTGCTAGTGAAGAGCCAGGCAGGGCCTCAGGGCATCCTCCAGATGTGGAAAATGGAGATGGCCCAAGCCCAAGTGTCTGGGCTGAGCATCCACCTGAAGTACAGACCCTCTAGAGAACTAGAAGGAAGCCTTCAGTTGTGGGCCCAGGTTAGGCCCCACCAGAGGGGCAAATCCTCTGGTCCTAATAATAACTTTGTTAGTCTCCTAGGCAAATTGCTTAATCTTTAATGTCATAGGCTGTCAAGTGGGGTAAACATTATGTCTTTCACATGAGAGTTCTGTGATGAGAAAAATTCAAGAAGCTCAGCAAAAGTGCTCTGTGCGGCTAGAGTATTGGGGTTTAAGGACTCTGTAGGAGACTTAGCGCCCCACAGAATCAGTCCACATTACAAACAGGAGAAACAGAGGCACTCTGCCTTGAACTGAGGCACAGTTTGTCTTGTTCACTGTTCTCCTGAGCACTGGGATTATATGCCGCCTGGCTGGGTTTTATTTGGTTCCAGGGATAGACCTGAAAGGCTTCATTTATGCTAGGCAAGCCTGTGTGGTTGAGTTACATCCTCGGCCCTATTCCTGGGGGTTGAATCCAGGTATATTCACTTCTAAATCTAAAATCCTTGGTTTTTGTTTTTTTGTTTTGTTGTTTTCTCCTTGGACCCTGTTTCCTCCAGAATCTTCTTGTTGTTGTTGTTTGTTTTGGTTTTCGAGACAGGGTTTCTCTGTGTAACAAACAGCCCTAGCTGTCCTGTAACTCGCTCTGTAGACCAGGCTGGCCTTGAACACACAGAGAGCTGCCTGCCTCTGCCTCCTGAGTGCTGGGATTAAAGGTATTCATTACAGACCAGGCAGTGCTGGAACTCAGGAGGCAGAGGCAGGCAAATCTCTGTGTGTTCGAGGCCAGCCTGGTCTACAGAGCGAGTTACAGGACAGTTAGGGTTGTTACACAGAGAAACCCGGTATCTATGAACAAACAAAAAACAAAAACAACAGCAACAAAGGTGTGTGTTACCAACATGCACGGCTAAAGTGAATTTTCTACGGTGCTTTTTTATGTTTGTTGGGTTTTTTGTTTTTATTGTTGTTGTTTGACAGCCCAATTGACTAGGCCTGAGACTTGGAGACAAAAAAAAAACCACAGTGGCCCCAGACACACAGGGGGCTTCTGGGGCCTAAGCATGAGTGGACATGGAGAGGAATACCCCCAATCATCAGGATCTCCTCTTGTTGCTGGGCTCTGTGCAAAAGCAACCAAGTCATGCTTTGCAGAACTACCGGCAGGACTTCAGACGCCCAAGGTGACAGCAGCATGTGTTCAAAGGGAAGGCTCCCCTTTTCTGCACAGGTCTTCAGTCCCCAAGACCGGAGGGAAAGAAAGTTCTTACCACATCCTTCCTGAGCCCGGTGTTGGCCACCAGCACCATCCTAGCAAGCTAGTTCCTGGGTCAGGGTTAAACAGAGACTCCCATGAGTCAAGGAGACACCTCTCAGATGAAGAGGCCTGTCAATGTGAATGTCATCCGAGAGCATCTGTAGACCCCTGACTCCATACGACTGTCACATGCCAGGCTGGTGGCAGGGGAATTCACAAGGGTCATGGCCACAGTTCACACGTCCCAGATCAGGTGCTTCCTGTTATGTTGGCCACAGGGCCTGTCCAGTAGAGTCACCGAGGAAGACGGGAGCCGATCTTTGGCAAGGGCAATGGTGCTTTCCCACACAAAGGAGAGATCATTGCAATCTCCTTTTGTGGGTGAGGAAAATGAGATCCCACCCCCACCTTAAGGCTTGAGGCTCACAGGCAGTTCCGGGGTGGGACTTACACCCTGACAACCTGACCTGAGATCTAGCCCAGGGCTTTCCGGAACACTTTCCTCAATGGGACTATGATGGCAGGAGTCCAGGTTCATCCCTAACCAGGTCCAAGCTCTGAGGGTTAAATCGAACCACCGTTTTGGAATCACTGTGAGTAAACACTTGTTCGGCAAGTATCATCAGTAGACACTGGCGGGACCTTGCAATGGTCTTCCATACCTCCCAGAACACTTGTTATTTGCAAAAGGAAGAAACAAAACAAAGAAAAACACTAATTACACAGTAGGAAAAAAAAATCAGACTCATTGCCCAGGTGATCAAAATAAACATTGATGCTGGGGATGGAGCTCCATAGTGGAAAGAATGCTTACAGCAGGTGTAAGGCCACAGGTTCAACCCCAAAGACCATGAAAGAGAGAGAGAGAAAAGAATATCATCACTGAGGCACAAGATGTCATGGGTTTCCAGATGGGATACCCTGAGAAAGACTGTTGGCACTCATATAATTTCCCAGCTGGGAATTTCTAACCTCCGCTTAATCGTGACAAAACTCCAAACCCAAAAGAGGTCTAGCTGTCATCTCGGCACACATTTTTGTAACCCCAGCACTTCTGAGGTGGAGGCAGGACCAAGGATTTAAATTCATCCTTAGCTACAAGTCAAATTAAAGGTCAGGTTGAGCTACTTAAAGGTCAGAATGAGTTACTTAAAAAAAAAAAAAAAGCCTAGCCGGGAGGTGGTGGCACATGCCTTTAATTCCAGCACTCGGGAGGCAGAGGCAGGCAGATCTCTGTGAGTTGGAGGCCAGCCTGAGCAAGTTCCAAGACAGCCAGGACTGTTACACAGAGAAACCCTGTCTTGCCAGCTGCAGAGCCTGCATGGGACTGGACTAGGCGCTCTGCATATGATAGACAGTTGTGTAGCTTGGTCTGTTTGAGGGGCCCCTGGCAGTGGGTCAGGATCTATCCCTGGTGCATGAGCTGGCTTTCTGGAACCCATCACCTATGGTGGGACGCCTTGCTCAGCCTTGATGCAGGGGGCAGGGGCTTGGTCCTGACTCAACTGAATGTACCAGGCTTTGCTGACTCCCCACGGGAGGCCTTACCCTTTCTGAGGAGAGGATGGGGGGTGAGTTGGGGGAGTAGGGAAGGCTGGAGGTGGGGATCAGGAGGAGGGATGAGAGGGGGATCTGTGGTTGGTACATAAAATGAATCTTGAAAAACAAGAACAAAAACTGCTGAGGGTTAGGGCACAGCAGGTATAGTGGCACGTACGTGTGTCCTTAACACCGAAAGGCTGAGGCCGGAGGACCGAGTTTAAGGCTGTCTGTGCTTTATATCAAGATCCTGTCTGTCTCAAATTGAAAAGGGAGATGAAGAGGTGGGTGGATCTCTGAGTTTGAGGCTAGCCTGGTCTACATAGGCAGTTCCAGGCCAGCCAGGGCTATAATATAGTGAAACTGTTTCAAACCACAAAAAAAAAAAGCTAGGTGAGATAGTACACGATTTTAATCCTAGCACTTGGGAGGCAAAGGTGGGGGCGGGGGCATCTCGGAGTTCCAGGACAACCAGGCAAAACAGAGATCCCCTGTCTGGGGGTGAAGGAGCACACACACAATAAAACAACACCCAGAAAGGGTTGGGGAATAAATGGGTGGAGGAAGATGTCTGCCTGTAATCCCAGTTTGTGGCGGGTGGAGGCAGAAGAATCAAGAGTTCCATACCATTCTTTTTTTTTTTTTTTTTTTTTTTTTGTTTTTGGAGACAGGGTTTCTCTGTAGCTTTGCGCCTTTCCTGGAACTCACTTGGTAGCCCAGGCTGGCCTCGAACTCACAAAGATCTGCCTGTCTCTGCCTCCCGAGTGCTGGGATTAAAGGCATGTGCCACCACCGCCCGGCTCCATACCATTCTTATCCCATAACAAGATTAAGGACAGCATGGGCTATTTGAAATAAAAAGAAAATAAAACGGGCTGGAGAGATGGTTCAGCAGCCAAGAGCACTGGCTGCTCTTCCAGAGGACCCAGGTTCAATTCCCAGCACGTGGCAGCGCACACCTGTCTGACAAACTCCCATAGACACACATGCAAACAAAACTCCAATGTACATAAAGTAAATCTTAAAAACAACAACGGAAAGTCAATGTTTATGAAAAAGAAAAACATGCTGAGGAAATACTTCAAATTAAAGGAAACTATAAAGAGAAATGACGAAGAGCCAGGCATCATGGCAGATACTTATAACTCCGCCACTCTGGGGCTGAGGCAGGAGGACAGTTGTGAATTTGTGGCCAGCCAAGGCTGCATAATAGAACTTTGTCTCCAAAAAAAAAGAAAGAAAAGTGAAATAAAATAAGTACTGGATGTAATGGTGCACACCTTTAATCCCAGAACTCGGGAGACAGAGGTAAAAAGATCTCTGTGATTTCAAGGCCAGCCTAGTCTATATAGTGAGTTCTAGGACAGCCAGGGCTACAGAGTGAGACCCTGTCTCGAAAGAAAGAAATAACAAGACTTTCTTTTATATTATACTGACTTTAAGTCTGCTGTGGTTATCACTGTATGTTCCAAAAAGACAGAATAGGTTGACTTATTTATTTATTTAAAATATCTATCTATCCATCTATTTTTTTTTTGTTGTTGTTGTTTTTTGTTTGAGACAGGGTTTCTCTGTGTAGCCCTGGCTGTCCAGAACTCACTTTGTAGACCAGGCTGGCCTCGAACTCACAGAGATCTGCCTGCCTCTGCCTTCCGAGTGCTGGGATTAAAGGCGTGAGCCACCACCACCCAGCTTAGATTGCCTTTTTTAAAAAGTACATATTTAAATGTTTAAAAGCATGATAACTACCTTTCCAGAACTGAGTTTGGAAGGCTGGGATTGCCACTGACCAATTACCACAAGCCCCTGTCCTCTGGGGGCTGGCCTCAGCGCTAGCTCCCATACCAACATACAGGCTTGGGGCAGAGAAGTTCCATAAAATGAGATTTATTGCCAAATTTCAAGAAAGATGGTTCATAAGCAGAAGACGCTGGATGCCTCCTTCCATGGTGACAGGGAGGCAGTCCTGTGCGGTCCCCATCCCCAACCTGCCGCTCCAGCATGAGAACCGACGGCATTTGGCCGTTAAGATGGTAGCCCCAAGACTACTTGCCCAACTAGTCACTTGACAGCACAGACTGGGGCTCTAACTCCCGGAAGCAGGGGCCTTGGCGGAAGTCCAGCAGCCCTGGCTGCTGCAGAGGATGATTGTTCCCAGGGGAAGGTGGCAGGGGATCAGGACTGGACACCTGAGGACGTTCTTGCTCTCATAAGGGGAAACAGAGGGAAAGGCAGGCTGGCCTAGGAGCCCAAGGAGTGTGGTCTGAAGCTGACAGTGGGGGGGGGGGGGGGGCTCACAAGCCAGACACTGCTGTTCACTCTGCCACTGTCTACTCCCCACAGCAAGAAAGTGACAGTTCAGGAATGAAGGCACCAACCTGCAGGCCTTGGTGGGCACATCTGGCGGGCGGGCCAGGAGCAGGGTGAGTGAGTGGAGAGGCCACTGGCTGCTGGGACCCCTCCTTTCTCTTCCAGTAAACAAAAGTGCACATGCAGAATCCTCAGGGCAGAGCCTATGTGAGGGCCCCCTCCCCCGGTGCCCCCAGCCCAGGCTCCAGCCTCAGTCCTGCTGGCCGCTGCTGCAGTGGGTTAGAGTCTCCAGAGCAGGCCCCCCCCCCAGCCAGAGGCAATGGGGGAGGGAGGGTGAAGGGGAGGGAGAAGACACTCCTCTCATTAGGAAGCTAAGGAGGGGCCGCCCACCAGGGGCCTGATAGGTGGGTTTAGTCACAGACTCGAGCATGTGAAGGGAAGGGGGTGGGTGTCAGCGGTCCAATCATAGAGACCCAGATAAATCCCATCTGGGAGGCACAGGAGGTGGGGGTGGGGGCAGAGGCCTCTAAAGGTTGATTAATGATAATTACATACAGGTTTTTCAGATGGTAACACAGGCCACTCTCGGGTTTTCATCTTCAGGAATGTGCAAAGATGGACAGAAGCTGGCCTGCGAGCAGAGGCCGCTCCAGGAGGCCGGAGATCCTCTTCTCCCCTGAAAGCCTGATCATCTAATCACAGCTCTCCAAAGAGAGAAGATCTGCAGTTTGCAGAAAGGGAAACGCCACAGAGCAAACGGCTCCTTCACCCAGACGCTTACCCATCTTTAGGCTCTAGCTAAGGGCCAGATTTCCCTCAGCTGATGGATGGATGACCCTACAGCCTGGACCCAAGGCCCCTATAGCTACCCATAACAAGTGGGTGTGGCTGGTTGGAAACTGCCTGCTGACCAGGAGATGGGAGCCTCAGGCAGCTCAGCTGTGCTCCTCTACACAGAAGTTAGGAATGTAAACTATTGGGGGTGAGAACAGAGATGACACCATCCGGGAAACTCCAAGCACAGTGCCAAAGCCCTGCGGCGGTTTGCAACAACCACACAGACCACAAGAGTATGTGCCCCATCCCAAGCCCAGAGCCTGGAAGAGGCCAGAACAGGGAGCCAGACAGGTAGCCCTAGGTGAGACCTGGACCACTAGTCAGGGTAGGGTAGAAAGGACATCAGGAGCTTCAAGTCCTGGCCAAACTTGATGTCCCCAATGGTGCGTCTACAGCCTGAGCTGTAGCTCATTTCTTAGTAAGGCTGGGCAGTGACTCGGGGGTAGGTGGGTTTGTGCCTCGGGCTTGGCACCTAGGGTGCACTTCTCCTGTAGAGGGTCACCAGCTCCTTCCGTTTCTGCACTAGCCCAGGCGTTTCCTGGTTCAGCTCTCCCAAGTCCCTCATTTCCTGCAGGACCTGGGTGGCCTGCCTCAGCTGCTCCACAGCCTGGCTGAGCAATGACTCCGCACACACAGGCTGTGCTTCGCTGCCCAGCACCTGGTTCAACAACTGCTCGGTCTGTCTCGAGGCCACCTTCACTTCCAGCTGGGCCCGGTACAACTTTTCCTTGGGCAGCTGTGGGTGCTGAGGTCCGTCTCTGAGTAGGTCCCCGAGGGACGAGGAGCGAGGATGAAACTGTGATGGCAAGTCCCAGGAGGGTCGTGCTGGGGATGCTGCTGCACCCTCTGGGGCAGTTCCAGGGGTGCCCGTGGCCTCGGATGGTATGGCAGACTCAGGATTGTCATCCAGGCCATTCACAGAGACCTGTGTTGGGCCTGGGGCAGTGGTCTCAGGAGCCTCAGAACTCTGGGATGGACCAGAAGCATCCACCCCACTTATGCAGGCCTTCATCTTCTCTGACAGGATCTTGGGAGGCGGTGCAGGGGGCTTTTTGGTCTCCCTGGGGGCAGCCTCTGGAGTCTCTGAAGAGGGCACCTTGGGCAGCTGTGCACTCTCCAGAGCAGAAGGCTCCTCTGGGCTGGGGTTCTCCCAGCTCACCTTCAGTTTCTCTGACAATGTGCTGTTGGGGAGCCTCTTCAAGCCACTGTCCCCCTCGGCTGGAGTCTCTGCACGGTCTTGACTCTCAGGATTGGCCTCGGGGCTGGCTGACACAGGAGTTGGGGCTCTCTCTCCAGCAGGAGTCTCCACGGTGTCATCAGCAGCAGCGCTGGAAGGCTCTGGTCCTGGGGAAGGCTTGACGGGAGGCATGAGAGCCCGAGGTGGCTCCTGGGGCTCGGTTTCACTGGCTTCATCGACAGGAGCAAACACTGGTGGTCCACTGTCTGGGACATCAAGGTCCAGGCGCGAAAGCCCATCAGAAGCTGCACTGGCTACCTGGTGTGAGGACGGTATCCAGGTGTCATCGTGGATGGCCATTGGGTCAAATATAGGTTCCCCACACTGCCTACTTCACCTCCTTCTGCTTGCCTAGATACCTCTCTCCAGTCTTTCAGCCCTTGACTTGGCCTGATTCTGGGACCTTCCTCACAGTATGGGAACCTACCAAGGAGCTTCAGAGGTCATGAAGTAGGGCTGAGCCGGAAGCCCCTTCCAAGGTCCCTCAGATGGTATGGGGGTGGGGTGGGTAGAGTCCAGGCTGGGACTCTCACACCCTTTTACATTCACCACATGGTCTGGCCAACACTTGGGACCACTACTGAGGCAGGCCCCTTCCTAGATTCTCAGTCTCCTCTCCAAGGCTGGATTTCAACCTACCCCACCCCTCCCCTTGGCTAGCCCTTCTTCAGTTTCTCTCTGTGACTCCTCTCTCTCAGCTGACAGATAAGAACGGGCTATCTCACATCAAGAACAAACCTCCCAAGGACCCTGTGTCCTTCCTGGCTACGGTCCCTCTTCGGGGCCCCTGCAGCTCTGTACCCAATGGCTAAACTGATTCCTTCTCTTTGAAAACATGCTGCACGTGTGACCACTTACTTTCTCCCCAGTCCCTCCCTTGCTATCGTGGCTGCCAGGTCCTGCATTGGTGCCCCCAAATCCTAAGCCCAAGTCACCCAAGTCCACTTGCTTCTGCTAGCATTTCTTGATGATCTCTGTCCTGGCCACCAGCCCTCTCCTTTTAAAAGGCCTTCTCTTCTGCGGTAGCCATTGCTGGCGGCCCTTAAATGTCTTATTTGCTGAGGATTTCTTCCTGGCCTTTAAAGCCTCTCCCCACCAGTTCTACAGTCTTTTAGAGGGTACTCCTTATCGCTCCCCTTCTCCACACCTGCTCCCAAACTGCCTGTACCTGGGCCTGTGACATCTTTTGCTTCCCTCTGTGTATTATCAGCCCTTTCTCTTCTTCTTCAACCCCTGACAGAGCCCGGAATCCCTCTCCCTTCATTTCTCCTCCTTTCAACCCAAATCCACCCTACGAAGGATCTCAAACTGATCTCTGGAACATTTCTTCAATCCTATCCCCAACTCCTGCATCCTAGGCCTCCATAATTCCTCCCCCTTCATTCCCAGCCTAATCCCCGAGCCAACTGAGGCCCTCGGCACACCCTAAATTGTCAGGCCTGGTGCCTCAGCTCATACCAATTCCTCCAACCAGAGTCCCTCTCACTCCTGCCCATCAACTAAACTGGCGCTGTTGGATTTTAAGCTATTGTCATCTTAAAACACAACGCCTCCTCCACAGTCCCTCCTGCCCCAGTCTCCGGGAGTTATTCTACCCCTGGCACTGGTCACAGCTAATAGGAGCAGGCCAGCCTTCCTGCTGGAAGCCGATCGGTCACAGGTACCAGCTTCCCCAGCCTGTTTCCCCTGTCCCAGGCCACTGTGTGAACCCCAACTGAAAAAGGGCCCAGACATCTCTGCTGTCCTCCCTAAACACATTCCACTTAGCAAGCCTCAGCTCCAGGCTAGCCCTGAGCGTTGATCGCCGCCCCAAGGACCTGGAATCCCAGGCTCAGCTGACCTCCCATTACTGAAGCCAAGGGAAGACCTTACCTCCTTTAGGTGGATTCTTGTTGGTGGCCGGCGCCGCTGGCCCCCACGTACCCGGTTCCGTGTCACATGCTCGAGGGCACAGGTCTTGTCTACTTTTACCTGGGAAGGTGTGAGAAGCAGGTGAGTCCCTGCCAGGTCTTGGGAAGATAGGAAAACACTCACTGTGCAGACTCCTCACCCAACAGAGTCAGCCCCACCCCGTGTGTCTCCCCTCCATGCGCCTCTGCTTCTCTGGGTGTCTACCTTGTCACAGGTGTTCGCTCTGCTGAGGGGGAAGCATTCTCATTCTCGGCAGTTAGCCTCGTCAGCTCAGTCCAGTGCAAATACCTAAGCAGCCCCAAGGCTGCTTTGGGGCTCAGCTGGGGCAGGAGGGGGATGCCAGATCATGACCCTCTGGTGTCTAGCATGCATTAAAGACTTGCCCTGACCTCTGTTACTCTTCTAACCCATGCCCAGGTCAGGAAAGGGCAGGGCCCCTATGGCTGGACCTGACTGTGTGGAAGGTAGCCTCTCTTCTCTGAGTCAGGAAAAGGTGGGTGGGCATGGAACATGGGAGGTCTGGACTCTGGATGCCAGAACTGTCTGTTCCTGTGAGGGAGCGGGACTCCTACTCCACTGAGGAACAGACGGAACCTGCCAAAACTGCCAGTGACCTGTGAGGCCATGGCTTCTGTGGCCACTTTATCATCCATGACGTGGCCCGCCATCCCTTCTCCCATATAGGAACATTTTTCCATATAGTGAAAGGCTGAGCATGATACGGTGACATGGGTGAACACACAGGACTCACAGGCTGGGACAGGGCAAGGAGGCTTCTCTCAAGTCTCATCTTCTGCCATCCAAGTTGTTTTCAAAATACATTTTAGCCCAAACAGCTAAGGACTCATGATATCAAAGACAGATCCTTCCTAGGAGATCCTGGCCCCACGGGACATCTTGACCCCAAGCCTGACCTTTTTTTTTTTTTTTACTTCTCCGAGACAGGGTTTCTCTGTGTAGCTCTGGCTGTCCTGGAACTCGCTCTGTAGACCAGGCTGGCCTCGAACTCACAGAGATCTGCCACCACCGCCTGGCACAAGCCTGATCTTTTAAACCACCATAACCATAGCCACCACTACAGCACAGGGGCCTCAGGAATGGAAGGTCATTGCAGACAAACAGGGAAACCCTGCCCGGCCAAGGCTTGTAGGCCAACTGAAGAAGGAGCTCATGGGCTGGGCAGTGGCATCGCACCTTTAGTTCCAGCACTCAGGAGGCAGAGGCAGGCAGATCTCTGAGTCCAAGGCCAGGCTGGTCTACAGAGCAAGTTCCAGGACAGCCAGGATTACACAGAGAAACCATGTCTCAAAAAAAAAAAAGGGAAGGTGCTTATGGGCGCTAAGCTCATCCCCAGCCCTCAGGCTTGGGGCTGCCACTGTTTACCCACTAGGTACGGTTGGAAGGACATACAGACAGTTCAGCCAGTTAAATTCTACCTACATTCTTTTCTTCCCCCTTCAATATGGATGATTGAGCCCAAGACCCTGTGCAGATGCCCACAATTATGCTCCCAGCCCACGTGCTTTTTAATGTAAAACAAATGACTTCAGGGCTGGGAACGTGGCTCAGCTGTGAGAGCACTTGTCTAGCATACAGGAAGTCCTGGTTTAATCTCCACTACTGCATAAAACCAGGCTTGGTGGCACACCTGTAATCCTAGCATTACATTTGGGAGGTGGAGGCAGGAGATTCAGAAGTTCAAGGTCATCCTTGGCTACATAGTGAGTTCAAAACCAGAATGCACAAGCTGACATTCTGTCTCAAAGGGGAAAAAAAATTACCTAATTTACTCATGCTTTGGTTTCACTGGTCGAAACTGGACACTACCACTCACTTTGGAGGGCTTTTGGGAGACTAAATGAAGTCTGCCCCAGTGTGTGTAGCTATAACAGAACTGGTGGTAGTTTGGAGCGAGGTGGGCACAGTCTTCTCCTAAACTGATGCGTCAGAGAACAAAGAGCCATCCAGAGGACCACACTCCCATACCTCATCAAAAGCCTTGTTCTTCCCGCGGTTGATCCCTTCATTGAGGGCTTTGATCCAGGATTCCTTTTCTTCCCCACTGGGGGCCTGGAATTTGATGTCACTGACCTGTGAGAGACAGGTGGGGAGGATGGCAGATATTTTTAGGGCTCACATTTGGGGTCTTTAGGAAGCATCCCAACCCAGATTCCAAAGTGAAGCCTAAATGGCCCAGAGCAGTTCTGACATTGGCTTTAAGTGGGGGGAGGGGTCCCCTCCAGCCGGCAGCTTCCAGAGGTTTGGAGGGAATCGGAATCAGCCTCTGTCCTGTAGAAAGGGTTCTGATACGGTCCTGCTTCATAAGGCTCTGTCTCGGGATAAGATAAATAAATAAAATCACGCTACGTGAAGGAAGTACAAGCCAGAGTGCCTCCCGCTATGAGGTACCTAGGAAAACCAAAACTGGAGACAGAAAATAGAGCAGTGACCGGGAGGGACTGGGAGAAGAGAGAATGGGAGCCAGTGTTTAATGGATGTGGTTGCAGTTCCATGAGTTTTAAAAGAGTTCTGAAGGAAGATGGTCGTGATGGCGCCACCTTAAGAGTGAAGTGAGTGCCTCTGAACCGTTCGCTCAAAAGTTAAGGAAATTTTGGTCAGGAATAATAGTGCATGTCGTTAATCCCAACACTCAAGAGGTAGAGTCAGATATCATTGTGTCTGAAGCCTTTCTGGTCTACAGAGATTTCCAGGCCAGCCAGGGACAGGGGCTACATAGTGAGACCATGTCTAAAAAAAAAATTTCTCTGTGTTTGATCATAGTTCTTATTTTTTTCTTTCATATGTATATGTATATGGTGTGTGTGTTGCATGCTCACATATGTTTTGGAGCATGAATATGTGTCTGCACGCTGACGTGTGTTAAGTGTGATCGTGTGTGTGTGTGTGTGTGTGTGTGTGTGTGTGTGTGTATGTGTGTGTGTGTGTGTGTGTGTGTGTATGTGTAGGTTCAAGGTTATGACAGGCCCGAGATCCAGTGTCTTCCTCAATCGATCACTCTCTGTCTTCTGTATGGGCTACAGGGTCTCTTGGGGAACCCAGAGCTCCCAGTTCGGCTGACCTGGCTAGCCTGCTTACTTTAGGGATGCTGCGTCTCTGCCTGCTGCGCACGGGGGTTACAATGGTTTTTACAGGCGTACTGGGGATCTGAACTCTGGTATACAAGTTAGGCGTGGTCAGCACTTTGACACTGAGCCATCTAGAGCTGGGGATACAGCTTAGTTATTGGTGGAGTGCTTGTAGAGCCAGGAGCACCAAGCCCTGGCTCCTGGCTGGCTTCCATCCCCAGCACCACACAAACCAGCTGTGGCTGTGCACGCCCGCAATCCTAGCCATTGGGAGGGAGAGGCAGAGGCAGATTTAGAAGTTCAAGGCCAGCTTGTATACCTGAAATCATCTCAAGGAAAAATACCAAAGGAGCTAAATCTGCAGCTGGCCAGAATGGGTGCACACAGCACCTCAGCCTTCACCTGGGCAGTCTTACTTTTCTAATCCATAAAATGGGATAACACAGTTTACTACAAAGCAACGCTAAAGGAATTAAACATGATCAAAACTAAGGCCTGGCACATAGTAGGTGTTCAGTAAGTAGTGAGTGAATGAGACAACACATGAATGAACTGGCCCTGGGTTCCTTCCCTCACCCCGTTTCTGGGCGGCTGCCTACTCTCTGACCTCAAGATGCCCTAGTTCTCTGTTGCTGTGGCCAGCTTGCCCATCCCCCGCCCTGGTATTAGATAGCACCTCCTGCCCCTCTGCCAGTCAGTTATGTAACAGCACAGTACAGTGTGCTTGGCCCGGCCCCCTCAGCATCCTCATTATATAACTTCCTCCTGGCAGTACCACCTCCTCCTCACACAGGACCCTAGGTCCCCCTCCACGCCAGCCACAGCCAAATGCTCATTTGCATGACCAGGCTAAATTAGATCCTGGCAGCAGATCTGCAGTTAAGTCAGAAACCCTAGGGCACCTTGGCAACTTCCTCTCAGCCCAGCCTTCAGGGCTGCAGGGTCTCAGGGAGAGACCACACGGCATACCCCGAGGGGCTCCAACGGCCACCCAATCCTGTGATGTGCTAGGGGTCTAGGCATCCCTTCTAACCCCTGCTGCTGCACCTGTTAGGGGTTCAGAGTCTGTGGGACTCCCTCCCTGGAACAGACAGGCGTCTCAGAGTTGAGGAACATACAGTGGACGTCAGTAGCTGCAGGAGTGGAACAGGGAACAGTCAGGTGCCGAGTAACTCTGGTCTCAGAGGGCGGAGAACAGAACTATTAGACTCAGTTGCCCTTTCCCCACTGGCCCAGCCTACCAGCCACAGACTGCAGGGTGGGTATTACCTCCCTAGGAGAGAGATGGCCTCAGGGAAAACCTACTGTGCTGGCCAATGGGGCTCACAGGGACCAGAGAACACAGTGTCATGGGGAGCTAAAGTGCTGTGTAACCCTGACTCAATGAGCTCCGCATACCACGGGGTTGACTGTCATAGGGACAATCGGGATGGACACCAAGAAGCTCTGCCTCGTGTGCTCAGGCTACAGCTCCGTGCCGCAAGCCCTCTGAAGAACACAGACTCGGAGCAGGAGAATAATCCATGCTAATAAGAATGGCCGCAGAACAGGCAGCCAAGGCCTGGGAAAGGGGGAAGGGCAGAGTGGCAGATAGGAAAAGCGGGGGAGGGGACGAGGAGGCCGGAAAGAGGAAAGGGCCAAGCTGGCCTCGACCAGCAGGGCAGCAGGGCCCAGCAGTGGCCACCCTGCTTCCTGGCAGCCGCTGTCTGTGACCTCACGGACAGGGGCGTGGGGATGAAGCGGCAGGGGAGTGGGGCACACAAGACACTGGAGTCTTTGTTTATTTGATTAGAGAGGAAAAAAAGGCAGCCTCAGGACCAGACAGCCAGGGTCACGTGACCTCCTGGCCAGCTAGAGGCCACAAGGAAGTTGGGGAACACCCAGGGCGATGGGAAAAGCAGGCACAGCAGGAGGATGTGCAGGGCCTCTGGGGAGCCCCACTCCAGTGTGGAACGATGAGGGTCAAGGGCCCTGGAGCGGGAGCTTGTATCTTCGCCTCCACAGCCGGCACCACTGGCTCCTGCCCATCTCCCAAACTGTCCTGCTCCCCATCCCCCAGAACCAACCAACTCAACTCTTGGAAGGGTAAGGGGCAGGAGGAAGGCTGTTACTGCAGAAGCCGAGAGGCTGCTATACAGACAGGCCTCTCGGAAGGGGTCAGTCGTCCTACTGACCACCCCCACCCCCACCCCACCTCCCACCCCCGCATACCACTAGCCGGCAAAGTAGGTGCCGTGGGCAAAGGACAAAGAGGCAACGTCTCCTGTCACCCCACATCCACAGAAGACACGTGCACGCACACACAATGACCTCAGGGCTAAGTGGTATTCGCACATGGGGAAGTGAACATGCCGGGCAGACGAAGGTGCTGCTGACCTTTGTGAACTATGGACTTTGCACCTCTCAAACACATGCATACTTCACACCTGCTCAGAAGGGCGGCAGGTCTCTAGGACAAGAAAAGGCTTACAGGGCCTAAAAGACCATTCTCTTGTCCTCAAAGTACCCTAAGCCACAGCTTATCAAATGAACTTGGGCCCTGGCCTTGACCCTCAGGGCACCATAAACCTGCCCCTGTCTTGGTGATACATTCTTGGGCAGAACAGACTAATGAGGAAAGCATTGTGATGTCTTCCAGGGTCAGGGACCACAGAAGACCAGGATCCTAACTTATAAAGTGGGAGAGAAACCGGATGGTTCTAGTTGGCCCCGACTAGACCTGTTCCCCTCACCCAGCTTCTGCAACGAGGCCTTGCTTTGGTAGGCTCCTCGTGATGTGGAGAGGTTAGGGTGAGGTATGGCAGCAGCTGGCGAGAAGCACCATGCACTTTGGCTGGCTTCAGATCTGATCTTCCTCCTGACATCCATGAACCTGTACATGCGTCAACAATACCCAGCAGACTTCCCTCCAGGGAAAAGTGGTAGACGGGCTGAGGAGATGCTCAGTGGTGAAGAGCACCAGCTGTTCTTGCAGAGGACCTGGGTTCGATTCCCAGTACCCACCTGGTGGATCACAACCCTCTGTAACTCCAGTTCCAGGAGAGCTGACAACCTGGCACCAGGCATGCGCGTGGTGTACAGGCATACATGCAGGCAAACACTCACACTCACAAAAGAAAAACAAACCTTAAAATAAATGTGAATGGTACAAACAGCAGACTTCACCTGTAGTACCTAAAGAAGAGAGTCTCAGGCCAAAAAGCAAACCACAAAAAGAGGAAAAGCCAGGGCTGTGGTCCTCCCAGCTCTGGGCCCGGGAGAAGCCTGGAGGGGAGGATGGAGAGGAAGCCATATTCTTCCCTCTGCTCCTGACTCTGTCAGGGCACTGAAGGACTGGTCAGGGTAGAGGACTTCTCCATAGCTGCCCTCTCTCAGCCTGTGCCTCCTACGTCCAGAATTCGGGGTCTGCCTTCCAGTGCATGCTTCCAATTACAGCCTGCAACGGTTGTCTCGGGGCTGAGAAAGGGAGAGTTTCCAGCACAGACCACATCACCCACCAACCAGGGGATGCTGCTAGATTTAAGCCTCGGCCCACCTAATGGGAAACCTGTAGACTGCCCAGAGGGGCCCAGCCTGCCTTCTTCTCCACACTAATCTTCCCAGGCAGATCCTGGCCTGGAGGGAGGCAGCCTTCAGGATCGCCCTTACCTTGTTCCCGGGGGATCTCAGCAGGATAAAGCGGTGCTTCCGCTTGAAGACGGCGCGCAGGTCCTGGCACTTCTCATAGCTTCCGAGTTCCACGGTCTCTACACATTTCTGCTCGTCCTGGGGAGAGAGAGTGGCGAAAGAAGTGGCCGGGTGAGTCAGATCCTCCAATAGCCTCAGTCACTGAATACACATGCCAGACTCTGGTTCTACTCAGCAAGAACATCGTATCACCAACATGTGGTATTCAGACCCTAGAGAGGAAACAGTGCCAGTGTGTGCTGGTGGCAGGTGTCCACAGTGTTCACCACGATGATAAGAAGCGGGATACACGGTTTGGGGTGGGTCCAGTGGGCCTAACCAGAGGCAAGTGTAGGGGAAGCTAGGGAGGCTTAGAAAAGGATGCCTGGTAGTCTGTGCAGGCACAGTGGCAGAGGATGCCTGGGGGTCTGTGCAGGCACAGTGGCCAGGCAGAGAGCTGTAAAAGAGGAAGCCTAGAAGAATCCAGGATGACCTGAAACATGGTAAGAGCTTCCCATGAAGAGCATGAACCAGACAGACGTGGGCTCACACACCCTGCCTTCAGCCCCGTGATCCGGAGTCATCCAGCTCCCTCACTTGACATCTCCCCATCCGGACAGCTAGCTAGGCAGAGGGGCCCCTAGCCCCAGGCTGAAGGCCGCACACAACAGAGAGGAGAAGAGCATTAAGGACATCCCCTCCTCCACCAGACTACCACTCTAGCTTTATCACTGTGTAGGCCAGTGGCCAAGCAATGCCTGGTCTCCACCACTGGCTAGTTGTCCTGTGACAGTCTCCACCAAGACCAAAACCTTCCATCCTTCAGGGCAGCTCCTTAAGCAGTGGGGTAAATAACAACAACAACAAAGCTTCAAGAATTCCCTGAAAATGACCAGATTCAGTAGGTCCCTTCCCTGCCACGGTAAGCAGAGCCCAGCTGCAAGGACTCAGACAAGCTGAGCTGCAAAAAAAAGCTACCTAGAAGAGGTTTAGACAACCAAGGCACCTGAAGAGGACGCTCTCCAACCTGTCAAGCTGCCTGCTGTGCAGTGGGTTCCAGGTTCCCAGCTTTTGTGAGCTGTCACCCATGCTGGGTGGGCTTTGGTGATGCAGCTGTCTGTGAGTCATTTCTGCTCCTGTAAGAAACCTCTTACCCGTGTTCTGTAAGTCACCCCAAGAAAACTCATTGGTTCTCCAACCTGGACTTTGGTGGTGTCCGTACTCTGGTCTGTTGTGGGTTCCCTGTCTGGGGTGAGTAGATGAGTGTGTTTTATCTCCCCAGGAAAATTTTTGTCACACAACACCAGGCTGCCCTCTGAACTTCCTGCCTGCCAGCCCCAACACTAGAAAGGTTTGAGGCATAGGATACCTCTCGGGCAAGCTGCCTAGAATAAGCTCTCCCTTAATAGTGGTCAACTGGTTCCTCTTCTGGAGGTGACCCAGTTGGTACAACTTCCTGGGAAGCAGAAGCAGACTGTGTGTGTGTGTGTGTGTGTGTGTGTGTGTGTGTATAGCCCCGGATAGCCTGGAGTTTGCTATGTAGACCAGGCTGGCCTCAAACTCACAGAGATCCACCTGCCTCTGCCTCCTAAGCAATGGAGATTGAAAGTATACACTGCACACATGAGACAGGGTTTCTCTGTAAAAACCTGACTGTCCTGGACATCGATTTGTAGATCAGGCTGGCCTCGAACTCACAGAGATCTGTCTGCCTCTGCCTCCCGAGTACTGAGGTTAAAGACTTGCACCACCACTGCCCGGCTTGGTTGATGCTTCTTTTTTTTTTTTTTTTTTTTTTTTTTTTTGGTTTTTCGAGACAGGGTTTCTCTGTGTAGCTTTGCGCCTTTCCTGGTACTCGCTTTGGAGACCAGGCTGGCCTCGAACTCACAGAGATCCGCCTGCCTCTGCCTCCCGAGTGCTGGGATTAAAGGCGTGCGCCACCACCGCCCGGCCATTGATTGATGCTTCTTAATTGGTTGCTCTGTGCCAGTGTAGGATCTAGTGCTCTCATGCCTCTGGGGTCCCCGTCACTTACCTCCAGGGCCACGCAAACATCTACAAAAGCGCCATCCAGTGCATTAATGCCACTTGATAAGTTGTTAGAAATGCAACTTTGTGGGCACCTTCTGACCCAATCATAAACTTTGGGAGCTTGGGCCTGAAAATGTGAACTATTTGTTTTGTTTTTCAAGACAGGGTTTCTCTGAGCAGCTCTGGCTGTCCTGGAACTCACTCTGTAGACCAGGCTGGCTCTGCTTCCCAAGTGCTGGGAACAATGTGAATTTTAACTATCACTCCAGGTGACCCTGGTGTAAGCAAACCCCTGAGAACCATATGCCACACATATTCAATCTCAGCAGCCTTGAGGCTTTTAATAACATCTAAACCTGCTAAAGACACCACACACTGTGGCTGCAGGACAGAGAAATCAGGGAACTGAGCAGTAGGCTGCCTCCCAGCTGGCTAGCTTCCATAGCACCGGAAGGTGTTAGACTGCTGGGAGAAAACGGTCATCAGTGGTCTTTTCCAGCTAAAAGCCTGCAAACTACAAGTCAATCTGCCAGGCAACATGTGCTCACTGATGCAATAATGTCACAGCTGTTACGGGTATAACCAACTTCTTTCTGACCGGAGCTGAGGCCTGCTCTACAGAACAGAATTCTTATCTGCTATTATTAAACCTGTCATGGTCTGGAGAGATGGCTCAGAAGTTAAGAACAACTGTTGCTCTTGCAGAGAACCTGGGTTCAGTTCCCACATCCTCGTGGTGTTTCATAACCATCCATAACTCCAGTTCTAGGGGAAGATCTGATAACTTTTCTTCTGACTTCCATAGACACTAGGCATGAATGTGATGCACATATATACATGTAGGCAAAACATTCAAGCACATAAAAAAAAATTTTTTTTTTTTGAGACTGGGTTTCTCTGTGCAGCTCTGGCTGTCCTGAAACTCCCTCTGTAGATCAGGCTGGCCTGGAACTCAGGGATCTGCCTGCCTCTGTCTCCTGAGTGCTAGGGCTTAAGGTGTGTACCACCACTGCCTTGAAAGATAAATCTTAAAACAACAATAACAACAAAAAATAAAATAAAATAAAAAACACCTGGTCAAAGACCGTGTTGGGGAAGTCCAAGCTGGGAACTTACTACTATTGTTTTCTTAAATGCACACATTGTCAAACTGCCTTTTACATATATGTCTATAATCCACAGATTAGTGTTGCTCTCAGCCTTGGTCAGAGAATTTCTGTTTACAGTAGCGAACATTAATGCAGAGAGTCAGAACTGATCGGAGTGTTGAGAATAACTGTTGAGTGTTCAACTCTAAACAGGACATATATATCAATCCCTTAAGGCTCAGAGAACATCACAAAAGTGTGGGTGGAAAGAATGTAAGAGCCAGTGGATGGGAAGGAGAGCTGTGAAACGCTGCCTCCTGGACATGATACACTGTTGCAACCATGAATTCCCAGCAGCACTGGCTACCTGCACACCATTCTCACAAGACTAGGCCCATCAACATTCTGTCATGGATGGGGAGGGGATCATGAGGCCCCACCCAACCCCGAGGAGCTAGGGCAGTCAATGATTGCTGAGAAAGAAGTCATATTCCTGGTGGTGTAATCACTGTTAACATACCCTTGCTTAAGTAAATAACCCCCTACTTATGGCCATGTAAGCAATCCTAGTTAAAGGTAGTGGGGCGCATACATAGGTACGTACATACATACATACACATACACACATACACACACACACACACACAAAAAAAAAAAAAACCATACTGGGTATGGTGGCACACACCTTTAATCCCATCACTTGAGAGAGGCAGAGACAGGAGGATCTCTGAGTTTAAGGCCGGCCAGATCCACATACTGAGTTCCAAGCCAGCTAGTGCTATACACTGAGATCTTGAATTATAACAAAACCAAAAAAAAAAAAAACTCCAACCAAATATGGAACTAAATGAGGGACTTATTAGGAAGAAAGTTCAACAGGAGTTGGAAGGAGATACACAGATAACTGGGGGAGGGGGAGGTATGATCACAGTAAAATAATGTGTGGGTGTGTGGATAGATAGATAGATAGATAGATAGATAGATAGATAGATAGATAGATAGATATAGATATAGAATCAAATATATAAAAATTAAAAAGAAAAACAGAGAGCCAGTAAGATGGCTGAGTAGGTGTACTGGGTGGTTTTGTGTGTGAACTTGACACAAGCTAGAGTCAGAGAGGAAGGAGCCTCAGCTGAGGAAATGCCTCCATGAGACTCAGCAGTACAGTATTTTCTCATTTAGTGATCACTAGGGGAGGGCCCAGACCATGGTGGGTGGTGCCATCCCTGGGCTGCTGGTCCTGGGTTCTATAAGAAGGTGAGCTGAGCAAGCCATGGGAAGCAAGGCAGTAAGCAGCTCCCCTCCATGGCCTCTGCATCCAGGATCCTGCCCTGTTTGAGTTCCTGTCCTGACTTCCTTCCATCGTGAACAGCAATACTGAAGTGTAAGCCTAATAAATCCTTTCCTCCCCAACTTGCTTTTTGGTCATGGTGTTTCGTCACAGCAACAGAAACCCTAAATAAGACAGTAGGTAAATATTCTTACTGCCAAATTTGATAGCCTGAGTTCAATCCCCAGAAGCCGCATGGTGGAAGGAGAGAGGTATTCCCTCAAGTTGTCCTCTGATTGCCACAGTAACAGTATGGCACATGTCCCTCCACCCCACAAGTAAGTTAAGTAAATAAATAAATAAGGCAAAAGGACTTTTATAAGAGCCCCCCACACACCCAGATAACATCTCGTATTAACGTTAGGGGTGAGGCTCAGACCTCAGTACTTTTCAAGGCAGATGGCTATAGGGATAAGGTGGCTAACCACTGACCTGTTTTCTCTTCAGCCTTTCAAGGGGCAAAAGACTGGATGGCCAGGGCGCCTGATCTCTCTGTCCAGGTTCCATCAGGTGTCATTTCTCATTTTTTCTTCCACACATCGCTTTTTAACCACTGATCCTCAATCCTGTCCAGGTTCTTCCATGAAGCATATGACCAGCAAAATGCTTCTATTCTGGGATGCTACCCTGCCATGATCCTCCAAACTTTAGTACTCTTGTGTCTTACCCACTCCTGGGGAGAGGGAGTTGCAAACATCTGTAAAGTGCCCACCAAGTACCACGCCAGATGCCAGGAACACTGAGCCTTGACAAGAGGAGCATGGTTCTCCCGTGTTCTGTCTCCTTTATGCTCCCCATGGCACTCCACATGAAGTAGTTCTCCGAGGAGGAATAGAGGGTCTGCAGCTATAGCTCAGGAGCTAGAGCACTTGCCTCGAATATACAAAGTCCTGGGTTTCCTCCTCAGCATCACACAAACCAGGCACAACGGCTTAATGGTTGACAACTTGAGGGGGTCCCTTCTCTCCTTCTACCACGTGGGTCCTGGGGATCGAATTTAGGTCATCAAGCTTGGCAGCTGTCATAGTGTATCATGTGATAAACACCATGACCCAAAGCAACGTGGGGAGGAAAGGGTTTATTTCATCTTACAGCTTGGAGTCCATCATCCAGGGAAGTCATCATTAGGGCAGGAACAGGAACCTGGGTGTAGGAGCTGATGGAAGCCATGGAGGAACACTGCTTCCTGGCTTGCTCCCCGTGGCTTGTGCAGCCTGCTTTTCCATAGCCCCCAGGACCACCAGCCCAAGGGTGGCACCACCTTGTGTGGGGTGGGCACTCCAACATCAATAATCAAGCAAGAAGAAGACCCCACAGGCTTGCCCATAGGCTAGTGTGATGGTGGAATTTTCTCAACTAAGATTCCCTCTTCCAAAATGACTCCAGCCTCTGTCAAGTTGACATGACAACTAGCCAGCCCAGAGGCACACACCTATAATCCCAGCACTTGGGAGGCAGAGCCAAGTGGATCTCTGTGAGTTCGGGGCCAGCCTGGTCTACAAGGTGAGTTCCAGGAAAGGCGCAAAGCTACACAGAGAAACCCTGTCTCGAAAAACCAAAAAAAAATAAAAAATAATAATAATAATAATACAACATACATACTTTGTGCATAGCCCTTAAGGAGTTGGGGATTTAGCTCAGTGGTAGAGCGCTTGCCTAGCAAGCACAAGGCTCTGAGTTCGATCCTCAGCTCCAAAAAAAAGAAAAAAAGAAACCAAACACACACACACACACACATACACACCACACACACACATACACACCACACACACACACACACACACACACACACACACACCACACATACACACCACACACACACACACACACACACACACACACAGAGTGGGGGGGTAATCAGTTTGCCAGAATGATGCACAGCCTAGAGTAAGACCTCCAAAGTCTTCCTGGGCATCCAGGAGAAGCGCCAGCAACAACACCACACCCACGCCTCCCCAGTGGACAACTACTGGCTCAAATGTCCCCTCTTCTTAAGGAACAAATTCAGTCGTCTTCACGACCCAGCTCCCCAACGCTGCCTGGCTTGGGCCAACTCCTCTACACCCGAAGTGCTGAATCACCCAGGACCTTCTGCAGTTCAGAGGAAAGGATAAAGCAGGAGGCACTGGGCGGGGGCAACAGTTTTGGAACATCAGCCTCTGACAGCAGAGAAACAGCCAAGAGCCGTCCGCACTCGCCTGGTTCCTTACATCAGAAAGAGGAATTGAACTAATAAGCATTTCTCAATTCCTTCTCCTGAGCCAAGCTCCATCCCTGGGTGCTAAGTTCTTGGAATTACATGTGAGTTTTTAATAGTGATGTGTTTTTTTTTTTTTAAGTGTGATTTGGATTTTTCATGTTTAGGGAATGTGAAACCCTCCCTGCTTCCCAGCTGTGGCCAGATGTGGAGAGGCAGTCTAGGACAAGTATGGCAGTGCCTGATGGGCTGACAGCTGAGAGCCTATCATTCAACTCCTGCAGCAGCTGGCACTGGAAAAAACATATCAACCCTCCCCCCCTTTTCTTTTTCTAATAAAAATATCCCTAGTCTGCCACTTTCCCAGCTGTGGCACATCCTAATTTGGTAAGTACAGAACATCTGGGAGGCTGTCTGCTCATCGTCATTCCTTACTGTTCTCCCACAGCTTCTCCGTCATCCAGACTGCTGGGGACTCAGCAGGACAGGACAGGCAAGGTGCTTTTTCTTTTCTTTTCTTTTCTTTTTTTTTTTTTTTCTGAGACAGGGTCTCTGTTTAGCCTTGGCTGACCTAGAACTCAGTCTGTAGACCAGGCTGGCCTAGAACTCAGAGATTCACCTGCCTCTGCTCCCGAGTGCTGGGATTAAAGGCGTGCACCACCACCACCACCACCACCACCTGGCTGGCAAGCTACTTTTCAAAGGCAACTCCTTGAAACCCTTAGATCAGGTTACTTGGGCTTTCTTGGCCCAGGGCACTTAGGGATTCTCGAAGCTGCTTGAAGGAGCTGAGAGAGGCTGACAGGTGAGATGCAATCTCCTTCCTTCTTCATAGATTCTGTCCATGAAGGCATACAGCATTACCCCATTCTCAGTGACCAGCCCTCTGGTAGCCTCAACCCCAGCACCAAGGAATAGCCACCTTTCCTCCAACTCTTCATATAACAGCATTTCTGATGCTTCCTTAATTAATAATTTTAGCTTTTGTTTTGAGACAGGGTCTCACACTATAGTCTAGACTGACCTCAAATTCAGGGCAATCCTCCTGTCTCACTGGGATTATAGGCTGTCAATTTTAGTATTCCTGGTGGTCCAAATCCTAAGCCTAGGAAGGGGACGAGAGTCTAAGTGTAACCCCAGCATTTCTGCCGTGAGATGGGAAACAGAGACAGGAAAATCCTCAGGAGGCCTGTGGTCCAGCTAGCCTCAAGTATACAGACAAGAGACACCCTGCCTCAAACAAGGGAGAGGTGAGAACTGTCACCCAAGGCTGTCTTCCAACCTCCATACATGTGCCTTGGCATATACAAGCCCCAGACGAATACTTATACATACACATGTGTCGTGCACATATATATGTATACAGAATAAATAAATCTTTAATAAGTATCAATTGTTAGCTCAGTGTTGGAGGAGACAGTGTGAACCAGCCTGGCAGTTACAAAGTCTGATAAAGGATTCCAAGCCTCAGTGGAAGTTTCTAGTACCAATTCCAACTGGAAAACCCTTCAGGCCTACATCTGTTGTTGAAGATGGCAAGCAGTATTTAACATTTTATTTGTTTCTTTGTTATTGTTTTAGAGACAGTGTCCTGACTATCCTGGAACTCACTATATAAACCAGGCTGTCCTCCAACTCACAGATATCCTCCTGCCTCAGTGAGTGCTGGGATTAAAGGCATCACTACCACTCTTATTATATATTTAACACTTTTAAATTTTTCAGCCAGGCGGTGGTGGCGCACGCTTTTAATCCCAGCACTTAGGAGGCAGAGGCAGGCGGATCTTTGTTAGTTCAAGGCCAGCCTGGGTTACAGAGTGAGTTCCAGGAGAGGCTCCAAAGCTACACAGAGAAACCCTGTCTCAAAAAAACAAAAACAAAAGAAAGAAAGAAAGAAAGAAAGAAAGAGAGAGAGAGAGAGAGAGAGAGAGAGAAAGAAAGAAAGAAAGAAAGAAAGAAAGAAAGAAAGAAAGAAAGAAAGAAAGGAAGGAAGAAAGAAAGAAAAAGAAACAAAAGCAAAATTGGAGCGAATCTTCCAGCCGCAAGTCCTCACCTCGTTCTCGCAGACCAGCAGCTGGGCTTGGCAGAGGAGCAGGTAGCGGTCTTTCCATAAGCCCAGGAGCCCCCCACTGCTCTTCTTGATCCAGCCAGCCTTGTCTGCAGTCCGTGCTTCACGAGGCTTCTCACTCCCCTCCTTCACACTCTGCAAGACAGCACCGGGACACACATGAGGGCTGTTGCTATGAAGCCATATGGTCCACAGACCACACAGGGGGATGCATCTCGTGTTGGGTACCTCATCCTACATGAAGTTTCCTCAGGAACCCTCAAAGCAGATACCAGAACAAACAGCAATAGTAACAGCCACCACGGTATACACGAGCCGCAGTATTGCACTTCACACGGTTTCACCTAACCTTTACAATTGCTCTCCAAGATGGCGGCCCTGTTAGCCACAAGTCACAGCAAACTGAAATTCAGGTTGTGTAGCTAGACCGAACCAAGACTCAAAGCAGGTCTCTCTGAACTCATTGTCTCCCCCTCCTGGGCCTCTCGGTGTTTATTAAACTGGCGAGCAAATGTATCGAGCCCATATAACGTCACATGTCACAGGAGAGAGAACAAAAGCAATACAATCTGCCTTCATGGAGTACACCGTGGGGAGATGGAGCGGCTAAGCAAGCAAATGGCCAGAAACGTACACGTTAACTTGTGCAAAGTGCCATGAAGGGACAGGTGAGACACCTCAGTGAGTAAGGTAATTGCCACCAAACCTGAGTTCCATCCCCAGAACCCACATGGTGGAAGAAGAGAGCCAATCTTCTGATCTCCATATGCGCGCGCGCGCGCGCGCACGCACACACACACACACACACACACACACACACACACACGCAATGAAAAAAGCAAAGGTCACAAGTAGGCACTGGTGTATAAGAGGACACTGGGGCCTGGTGGCCCAGAAAGACCTCCTGAAATGGAGGCTGTTTAAGCCAGGCCTGGAAGGGCAAGAGGGACCAGGCAGTGTAAAGAAATCTCTCTCTACATATACCTTCCTGACTTTCTAGAGAATCTAATCCAGCTTCCTGTCCTGAGGCAGAGGACTCCTTAGTCCTCATCCCCATGCCAGGGTAGGACTGTGGTGTGGCTACTTCCTCCGATGAGGACTCCGGGAACCGTCTCTTCGATCACAGGCTGGTATAGGGATTAAGTTCAAATCATTCTGTAGAAGGTAGCGACATGGCAGCCTCAGGGTCTGTCACTCACATCTAATGCCCCACCCACAACCTGTTCGGATGGCTGGGTGCTGGGTACATAGGTACATACATGTCTACATGCCTACCCGATGGGGTCAGATTCACCTCTCAGGCCGAAACACTTAATCTTCTCCTTTGATACCTAATGAAAGCTGAGGTTCTATCTGTAAAAATAAAAATTTAAATATACCCTATTTGCTAACCACTGTGCTGAACTTAGAGGTAGCTGGGGTACTGAGGGGGAAAGAGGGTAGTAGAGAAAGGGTCAACAGGGCATCAGAATCTAGAGGATACTAGAAGGAAATCAACACCGACTAATTTCAACTACGTTGTAATTTACATAGAGCTCCAAAAAGGGGCCCCATTTAAAGGCACGCCTCTCCCCAGAGATACCCTGTGGCCACAGATGTCTTTGGAAGGACAAGCCCAGGCAGATATAAGTGCGGTGCGCTGTCAGGAGCTGGGCAGGGCCTGGCTTCTGTGTTATGGCAGAGAGGCTCCAGCCTGCTTGTCACTGTGGCCCTTCTCCCTCCTGGAACTCCACACATTCTGCTTTACGGGGAGCATGGGCTTTGGAGCCCAAGTCACACAGACCAGAAAGAGGTGGAGCAAACGACACCACCTCTTCCTGCGTCTCCGTTTGTTCACCTGGGGAACTGAGAGGCTAACAGTTCCTGTATGAATAGGAATCCATCTTGCTTTTCTGCCTTTTGACCAAGGTCAGTCTAGAAATAGGACTCCATGAAGGTGGGGGGCTTTGTTTTGTTCACTGCTGTCCCCAGACTGTTGCCTAGACAGTGCCTGGCACACAGTGGAGGGCTTGATACACGTCTGTTACTGAACAAAAATAAGGCACATATCCTAGGAAACCTTGGTGATTGGCAGCTGTCACTCCTGTTACTCTCGTCACTGCCCATCACTGCCCGCCCCACTTGGAGTCTCGGGGACCTTCCCTCCAGATCCGGTTCTCAATTTAGAACCAGAGCTGAGCTATATCTGCTGGCCCCACATCTCCAGGAATGTGGGCTATCCCTTCTGGTCTTCTAACTTGTGGATGGCGAGAGAAATGGGGAAGTGGGCTGGTTCCAGATGATCTTCCCCGATGCAGGAATGAGGAAGTGAGGCTGACAGTTATGAGCTACCCTGCCAGGGGAAGAGGGAAGAGACTGCAGGGCTCTTTGACAATAACAGGGAGGTTCTCCCATTCAATCATGTACCCAGCTGCCTCTCCCTAGCCACTGCTGATACCACGCCATGTGCTAGGCTCTCATAGGCTGGGGGATGCCCAGGGACCTAAGTCTCTCAGTGACCCAGGCAGGCTGCAACAAGGTCCAGGGCTGGAAGAGGAGAACTACAGAACAGGAATCCCTATGCCCACGCTGCATACGCGCACACTTCTATCAGCACGCCGGCGCTGATGGGCACCTCCTAGGCCCTGAGTTCTCCGTGTCTCCTGAACAAGGTGGTGGGGACTGTGGAATGCGAAGCTGCTGATCACATCTCCAACCTCCAAGCTCCAAGTTTCTCCTCTGATTCCAGGGAGGGCCACCCACCAGCCACGGTTTTTAAAGGGAATCTCACGCCCCTGGGATCTCCCCTACCCGCTACTTCCACGGCCTGACACGTAAAACTTCACATCAGCTGGAAGCTCTGGAGGCCAAGGCTGGAGCCTGGGCCTTGGTCGCTGTCACCTCTGGACTGCGTATGCACACTAGTGCCTAGTGAATAAATACCAAGACTAGACTAGCTAGGGAAGCTAAGTCCAAGGTCTGTGAGGATGGGTGGGACCAGGATGGACTGGGCAGGAGGGGATGTTGGGTTAGGGGAGGGGACAGCTGAGGGTTTTGCAGATGGTGTGAAGCAAAGCCCAGCTATCCTACGGGAGGCCTGGCTAAACGCCAGGGTCCTATTGCCTCCACCCTCCACTGAACTCCCTCCCTGCCCCTTAGACCTCCTCCCACCAGGGGTCTGACTACACCCCAGTAAGTTTTAACATGGCGCCCCTCCCCTTGGCAGGGTTCACAGGGGAGGTTTTGTCTTGCTCGGCCCAGTCTCTCCAGCTCCTCTCTTCTTACTGACCAGCTCACCACTGTTTCTGTTCCCCTCCCAGCCATCCTCAGTAGGCCTTCTCCTGTCTACTGCAAGCAGCTCCTGATATATCCCATGGCATCAGCCTGGCTTCCAAGGCCTGAGATGCAATTGTCTCAGGGCTATTCTTTAAAAAAGCAAGGGAGAAAAAAGAAACAGGGTACCCTGACCCTGAGTAGGAAAGAGACAGATGAAAAGCTACAACCAAGTTACAACAGACAGAAGCCAGCAGAAGAAACCTTGTTGGCGCGGCACATGACGGGCAGCTTGTGATGACTTCTGCCCTTCAAGTAAACCCAATGATAGTCTGCCTAAATCCTAAAGGCTTCACTCCAAGGCAAGCATGGTGGTGCATGCCTTTAATCCCAGCACTTAGGAGGCAAAGACAGGAGGATCTCTGAGTTCAAGGCCAGCCTGGTCTATATAGGGAGTACTAGGTCACCAGCCAGGACGACATAATGAGACCCTGTCTCAAAAGAAAAAAAAATCCTAAGGACCTACTCTATCAGAGCCTTAGAATGAAGCGTATGGAGAGAGGAAAAAATACAGGCCCTGCCCTAAGGGATCTTCCGGGCTAATGAAGACAGTGTACAATCTGTGCGGGGAGCTTTAGGAGGGTGGGGGGCTATCTCCTACTTCAGGGAGCTCTTGTCTGTTGGGAAACTCATGGCACTTACCCTGAGGGATCTCCCCATCCTTGCCTTCTGCCGGGGCAAGGGCCTGGGGTTGGTACCGAAGTTCTCTCAGAAGGCAGGGGCATGTGGAGAAGCAAAGGCAAAAAGGCATCAAAGACTTGACATTTCTCATGGCTCTGGAGAGGAAGCGCCAAGTTAAGAGCACTGGCTGCTCTTCCAGAGGACCTGGGTTCGATTCCTGGCACCTACATGGCAGCTCACAACCATCTGTAACTCCAAGTTTCAGGATATCTGATGTCCTCTTCTGGCCTCCACAGGCACAGTGGTTGATATACACGTATGCACGCAAAACACCCATACACATTAAATTAAAAAAAAATTTAAAAGACTTCACATTCTCAACTCTTTTACCACAGAAAGAAAAGCTCACAGAAAGAGCAAGAGGTTGGCCCAGCGTCACAACTAGTGCTTCGACAGGACACGCCTGTCTCAATAAGGGTCCCGGCCGGTGGGCAGTCTGGAGCCAGGGAAAGGCATGAGTTTGGGAGGGCAACGGGGCAGAACCAGGGAGGCCTAGAGCTAAGGTTTCCAACCTTACTCCAGGGACAGCAACAACACCTCCATTGATATTTTTGGTTTTCAAAGCTTTTTGTACACACATTATCAAATTTCTGGATTCCCCTTCCCTTCTCATTTTACAGTTGGGAAAATGAGGACCAGAAAACACAGATAGACAGATGCCAGAAGCCCAAAGCAGCACCTCTCCAAGCCACAGCCGGACAGGGACCACCATCCTGCATCCTACACAGAGGCCACGGGAGGCTTGGCCCCTGGGTGCCTGGGACCCAGGAAGTGCAAAGCGTGAGGGTGGAAAGAGAGGTGAAACGGTGGCCTGAGTCGGGGCAGAGTGAGTGACCATAATCAAGAGGCATTTAAGAGAAGGTTGGATCCAGAGGCACGGGGAAACAAGTGAACACTATTAAGTAGGAAGCAACAAGAGTTAGGGGTACCAAAGGGAGGGCAGGTACAGAGAGGGCTCCTGACTCTGTGGATGTGACCTGGGGCTTGGATAGAGGAAGTAGCATGGGCAAGACTTTAATGACCCGGATGTGTCAGGAGTTCTTGGTATCTGGGAGTCAGAAAGTAGCAATGTTAGCGATTATGAAGCAGAGGGAGCACAGGGCTGTGCTGAGCCCAGGAACCTCGAGGAGAACTTCCTGTAACTGGGGACCAGAGCAGATCAGGAGATGGAGTAATCCTGACCCACATCCTCTGGGAACAGGGGAGTGGCCTTGGACAGAGAGCAGAGCCCGCTGCAGGAGGGGAACGGAGGGGCAGGCTGCAGCCCCACCCGTGACAGCTAGAGAAACCATAGCAAAACATAGTAGCCTGACTTTGCCCCCTACCTGCACCCACTCTGAGGTCAGGGACCACAAAATACTGTCAGGTCTAGGGGAGGAGGCTAGGCCCTGTGTTTTATAGAAGAGGAAACACAAACTGGGAGGGGAAGTGACTTATCTACCATCCCACACAAACTCAGGGTCTAGCCTAGATGGAACAGAGCCTTGCTGCTCCAGGAAATACGCAAGTGGATACTGACAGGAACACAGGCAGCTGAGCTCACTGAAGGCACCCCCCAGTTGGCAGGGTGGCTCCGGGAGGGAAAGCTTCATCTTTCTTCCCCACCCTTCAAAGGACAAGAAAGTTTTCTTTTTACTCATTTCATGAGCACGCAATAGGTGACTGCTGTATACTGGACCCTTGGATAACGGGAATGGTGCAAGAGCCGAGGGCGGTGAGGCTCAAGGGGCATTGCTAACCCAGCCCTTGCTTCTGGGAGAGTTAGCTGACCTGACCCTTCAACTAACGTCCTCAGATAGACAAGGGCAAGAGTAGTGGGGACTCTTGAGAGATGTGCACAAGGAAGACAAAAGCAATTTCTTCGGTCCTGCCGCCAGGCTCCGTTACAGCCTCATTCCTTGAGACAGTGTGGCCCAGGACCCCGAAGAACTTCCCTCCCCTAGCACACAAACATAAGCAGTCTGGCCCCTTAGGAGGAGACCTGGCCTTGGCAGGCAAGAAAAGCCAAGAAAGGGTGTAACGGGATTCAGGCACAACAACCCAATCTACTTTCAGCAAGTCACCCAACTCTCCAGAGCCTCAGTCTCCCCGCCAATCCAATGGGAATCATGACAGGCACTGTTTCCAGTTGGTGAGAAACGCGCAAAACATAACCGAGGATGCTGTCGGCGAGATGCAGGACGAGACCCCCCATCCCGCCCCTACCCCATCTCGGTCCAGGCTCTGCCTGAAGGAAGGAAGAAGGGAAAGAGCATGCAGAGACCGGTGGAAGTAGGGCGGGCAGGACCCCAGTCCAGCACCCTGCTCCGTCTGGCCCAGCTCTCACCTCCTCCTCCATGGCGAGTCTGTGAGGTCCGGCCGTTCAGCCGCTTAGTGCTGCCCGCGCGGCGCGGGCTCCGCTTGCTCCATCTGTGCGCAGCCGGGCGGCGGCTCGCTATCTTCTGTCCCGCCGGCCGCCGGAGGCCCAAGAAACTTCGGGGGGCGGGGCCGGGGCCGGGGAGGGGCTTCCGGGGGCCGGGGGCGGGGCCGGGGTGGGGTGCAGCGGCCCCCAGCCCGCGCCCGCAGCAGCGCAGTGAGGAGCGTGGCCGGGTGGGGGTGCAGGGGCGGGGCCGGGGAGGATCCTGGGAGGGGCTGGTCTTGTGCTCCGGGAATGGACGGAAGAACTCGGGCGGAGCTGAAGTAGCAGGAAGAGGGCGGAGAGAGGTTTCCCCGGACCCAAGCAGGGAGAGGGACTGGGAGGGGGTACAGACTGGGGAGGTGGGGGATACGGAGGGGGAGGGGGCTTCCGGCCCAGAGGCGGAGGCGAGGGATGCAGGCGGGGTGGGGCAGGGCGGAGGCGGGGCGGGGGCGCGGCTAGCAGAGCAAGCCTGGGAGGCGGTGGGTGGTTGATGCCTTTGAGGTTGCCTAGTGGGGCCGGGTTGTGGGACTGGATCAGCTGCCAGGGCAGTTCAGAAATGAGTGCACCAAGAGGTCCCTCCTCTTTCCTTTTTTTTTTTTTTTTCTTTTGGTTTTTCGAGACGGAGTTTTCTGTGTAATAATCCTGGCTGTCCTAGAACTCACAGAGATCCTCCTGCCTCTGCCTCCTAAGTGCTGGGATGAAAGACATGCACCACCACCGCCTGGCTGGTTTCTCCTCTTTCCTCCCGAAGTCGGAGTAGTGGTGATGGTTTCTAGTTTGTGCAATGTTTGGGTGGGGCCCCAGCCATGAGCTTGGGGTTTATGACCAGAGTCGGAGTCGGGACTCCAGTCCTTTATGGAGGGTCTGTCTTTGGCTCTCTGAAATCCCAAACTCCCATGCTCGCCTCTCCCTCGTTCAACCCCTCCTTGGCTCTCAAGTTGTGACTTCATCACCCTTACTCCCTCCAGCCCTGACCTGACCACGTTGCTGGAGAGTGGGGTGTAGGGACCAGCGAGAAAGCCTATAAATTCTATCATGCACTTTCATTTTATATTGGAGAAACAGAGGCCTGGGGGTGACTGCCACATCCAAACCTCCAGCATCGCGCGCACAGACAGACAGACAGACACACACACACACACACACACACACACACACACACACACACACACACGAGCTTTCCTGGTCAGGCGTGCCCCATGCTACAGCACCCAGAATTTCGTGCGTGTGGGATGAATCAATGGTGACCTCCTTTGACACTGGCTACCTTAGCCTCAGCCACACCAGTTGACCAAGCTTCTCTTCCACTGCCCTCTGCTGGCCTTTGGGCTCCTGGGTCCTTTTCAACTCTCCATGGAAGAGGGTGGAGCACACTGCCTCTCATTCCTAACCTAAAGGGTGGAGAGGGATAGTGAGATTACTCATTAGTTAGTGCCCAGGTTTGATTCTCAGTACCCATACAGTGGCTCACAACTGTCTGTAACTCCAGTTCTAAGGGGGATCTGAGGCTCTGTTCTGGACTCTTCGGATACCAGGCATGTAGGTGGTGCAGAGACATACCTGCAGATATAAAATAATAGAATAATTTTTTTGAAGGATGAAGAAAACAATGCACCAGGACTCCAGTGTTGTACAACGGCTTCCTCCAAGATTGAAACATTCCTTCCTGCATGAAGTCCTTAAACAGGAAGGTAAACAACTCCAGATAAAATCCCACTTGTACCAGGCTTGTAATCCCAGCACTTGGGAGGCAGAGGCAGGCAGATCTCTGTGAGTTCAAGGCCAGCCTGGTCTACAGAGTGAGTTCCAGGATAGCAAAGGCTACACAAAGAAACCCTGCCTCAAAACAAACAAGCAATCGTGTTTACTGCTACTTGGAGAATGGGTTATTGTAAGAGTGGAAGCTGGGACTCCAGGTGGCTAGGAGACTATTGCTGTAATTCAGGGTAGAGGTGATGCCTTCTAACCACAGGATGAGGAATGAGGACAGGAGGAAATTAATAGACTCTAAATACATTTTGGAGGAAGATCAAGTTTCAGTAGTAGGTGAGGAGGGCATCAAAGATAGGGTGTAGGGTTTCAACTGGAGCCCCAAATGTTGGTGCTACTTAGTGAAGACAGGAGAAAAGCAGGTGTGTTCAGTGGCGCTGGAGAAGACTAAAAGCTCTTTTCTGGAGAAAGTGAGTTTGACATGCCGACTGGCATTCACATCGAGCTCTATCGGAAAGCTGAATGAAGATGGGCAGGCTCAGGTAAAATATTGATAGTCAGCAAATGATAATTAAGTCATTAAATTGAAAGAGACAGGGACAGAGGTGTGTATATGGGAGAGGGGAGAAGGGGGGGGCGGAGAGGCAGAGGCATTGTGGGGGGAAGGGAAGAGGGAGAGAGTGAACCCCTAGCAAGGTAAGGGAGCAGTAGGAGGTGAAGTCCTACTCTGTCTGGGGATTGTGTTTATGTATGTAGGTGTGAATAGTTTGCTTTTGAGACTGGGTCTCACACTGTAGCCTAGGCTGGCTTCTACCTCAGCGTCCCCGAAGTGTGATTAGAGGTGTGAGCCACTGTGCCTGGTTTGTGCTCTGGAAGATACAAAAATCATAAAATCAATACTCTTTCCTCGTTCATCTCTTCTAACCACATTTTCTTTGCAAGCTTCGGATTGCGGAAGAGGGAAGGCAAAAACTTGGAGGGAAAGGATCCTAAGGTCCCGGAGGGGTGGTGCTCTTTTTAGTATCACATGATACTGCCCTTTGCTAAAGTTACAGTTGTTTCTTTAGAGTGGACTGGGACCTTGCTGTGGGAGAGAACGAGTAAGACCTGGAAAGAGTTCTACAAGAGGAAATTTTATAAGGGAGAAACCCCTCCCTTCAAATGTGTGCCTCCAACCCTGGATTGGGCTTTAGAAAAGGACATTCAAAAGCAGCTTTGTGCCTCCCTCGAAAGTGACCTCAGCGGTAGCAGCAAGCACAGCATCGCATATGCGCACTACAACCCAAAGCAGCGAAGAAGGAAGTTGGACCGCAGTTGTAAGAACTCCCCTTGGCTCCGCCCCTCTGTGTCCGTCAATCAAGACCCAAATGACAAAACCCCAGAGCTAGGGCGGGCAGGAGGGCGGAGTCCAAGGAACGTTAATTCTCTGGAGTGGCCAAATTGAGCTCTGGGTTTCTTTTCTTACAAGGACTCGCTGTTGTTGCCCTTACAAAAACTTAGGTGGGAAAAATGTCTAACACGTTCAAATAATACCGAATCGTACCTAGAATATCCCATAAATCCTTGCCCACGTGCTTATTTAAAAGAAATTAAAATATAAATCAGAAAACGTAGATGCTTGAACTGAAGAGATGGCTCTTACGGAGGACCTGGGTTCCATTCCAAGCAATCACAAGGTGGCTCACAACCATCTGTAACTCCAGTTCCAGGGGCTCCAACGCTCTCTTCTGACCTCGGTACACATTCTTACATTCAGGCAAAACAGACACATAAAATGAATCAATTTAATAGTTAAAACAAAAAAACTCCAAAACTTCACACACACACACACACACACACACACACACACACACACACACACACACACACGACCAGGCATGGTGACATCATGTAATCGTAGCTCTTAGGAGGCATAGGCAGAATTGCTAGTGCGAGACCAGCTGGGGCTGTACCATAGCATGTCCTAGACCAGTCTGAACTGTATAGCAAGACCCTATCTCAAAAACCCAAAAGAAGCCTGACGGTGGCGGCTCACACCTTCAATTCCATAACTTAGGAGGCAGAGGCAGGTGGAGATCTCTGAGTTCAAGGCTAGCTTCGTCTACAGAGTGAGTTCCAGGACAGCCAGGACTACACAGAGAAACCCTGACTCAAAAAACAAAACAAAACAAACAAACAAACAAAAACACAAAAGAAAACAAATAGTGGGAGTATCGGTGTTTCTCGGTGGTAGAGCACTTGACCAGCATGTGTTTGGCCCTGGATTGTATCACCAGCACAACTAAACAGATATACAAAATAAGCTCTCAGTGGGCGGTGGTGTCACACGCCTTTAATCCCAGCATTGGGAGGCAGAGGCAGGCAGATCTCTGTGAGTTTGACACCAGCCTGGTCTACCAAGTGAGTTCCAGGACAACCAGGGCTGTTATACAGAGAAACTCTGACTCAAAAAAAAAAAAACAAAATTACAGTTGTGTGTGTGTGTGTGTGTGTGTGTGTGAGAGAGAGAGAGAGAGAGAGAGAGAGGCGGGGGGGGGGGGGGAGCAAATGTGGAGGACAGAGGACAATTTAAAAGAGCTGGTTCTCTCCATCCACCCTATGGGTCCCTAGGATCAAATTCAGGTTGTCACGCTTGGTGGCAGGTGCCTTTACCTGTGAGATAGTGAAAAGGTGTTTTTTTTTAATTTTTAATATTTATTTAAATATATATACACATATATATGTATATGATTGTTTTGCCTACATGCTTGTATGTATACCAGAAGGTGTTGGATCCCTTGGAACAGAAGGTTGTGAGCTACTATGTAAATGCTGAGAACAAGTGCTTTTAACTTCTGAGCCATCTCTCCAGTTCTGATGAAAAGGTTTTGAGGGTTAGAGAGATGGCTCAGCAGTGAAGAGCACATGTTGGTTTTGCAGAGGACCTGGGTTCGATTTCCAGAACCCATATGGTGGCTCACAACCACCAGTTGCAAGGCATTCAACGGGCACACAAGTGGTACACATGCAGGCAAAACATTCATACACGTAAAATCATTCTTAAAGAAGAAAAAAATTGAATATAGAATGTAACTATGGTTGTACATTTTGTACCTCATAACTAGCTGGTCGTGGTGGTAGATGCATGGAATCACATTTAGATGGAAACAGAAAGATTAGAAACTCAGTATCATGTCCCTGCCAAGTAGCAACTTTGATAAGTTTGAGGTCAGCCTTGGATACACGATATCCTGAAGAGGGGAAGGGGAGAAGAAAGAGGGAGGTGGCAATTTAGTCTGTAGTGGTTATCATTATCTGTAAAATGAGGTGGCTTGACTCACCCTTCCAGCTAGGTAATTTCAAACTTCAGTGAGGGAAAAATAATAATTATAAGTAAGTTTTCAAAGCTGGATCGTGCCAGGCGCCTGTAGTCACAGCTACATAGGGGGCTGAAGGAAGATCCATTGAGCCCTGGAAGTCAAGACCAGCCTACACAGTGTAGCAAGACCCCAACCGAAAGAGATTAAATTCTCTGAGCGCAACAAGAGGAGTAAGAATTCCCTGAAGACAAGGACTCGTTCGCTACTCTCTGGACACCTGACACTGGTCTTAAAGTTCTTTACCCACAGGTCTCAGCAGGGTAAAAGAGACAAGTGTATAGAATAATTCTTAGGAGGGCAGAGAAGGGTGAAAAGAATCAGGGGACAGGGAAGCCGAGTTGGCTGGCAAGTGAAATGGCCTTCCCAGAAGACAACAATGGTTCTGTGGGTGGAACAGGATGTGCAAGGGACGAGGGAGATTTTCCCTAAGGCCAAGCAATCAGGTGTCGGGGACGGTGTCAATAGAAGGCTCCTCAAATCTTCAGAGCCGCTTTGGGTGACAGTACGCCACGCGCCGCGCAGCCGCAGCCGCTTCCCTACCCACCACGCCCACTCGTGTAACTCTAAACGCACGCTCCTCCAACACAATAAGCCACCCAGAGTTGAAGGCCGAGGGAAGGCCCGCCCGTGGCCACGCCCCTATCCCTGATTGGCTAGAGAATTTAAAGACCAGGCCGGCGATAGGGTGATTTTCTTATTTCCAGTATTTGAATGTTCTTAGTACTGTAGCTTTGCTGCCAGCCGGTTCTGGTCTGATTTTTCCTCCGAAAGCAACAAGTGAGTTGGATCCCTGAGGTGAGAGGCAAAGAACGGGTTTATTTTAGGGATCCTCGACGGAAGAGGTATAGATGAGTGGGTCGGACGGAGAGACAGTGGATTACTGGGTCCGGAGGTTTCATAAATTCTCTAGCTAAACGTGCATCCTTTCCAAAGCACGGGAATCACACTGACCCAGATACCTACTAGTTAGTTGATGAAGGAGATGTGCCTGTCTCAGCCTGTTTCCACCTCCAGCCAGTTTTCTTCCCATCGCCCAATGTGTGGTTGCTCTGCTTCCTTCACAGGTCCCTGACAAGTCCCACACTGGCCTGGGTGGGTCTCCTCAAGCAGGCTTTTCTGAGCAGGAATCCCTTTCTGATGTGGCCATTGCAGGACAACTGAGGCTCGCCAGCCCTAAGCGCATTTGACGCCACCTTCCACCGCTCCAAGAACTGCAGCAGAGGACATTTCCAGAGTATTTGTTTTCTCCTCGCCCCAGAGTGCTTGTATTATCTTGGTGGCTCCTTCTGCTACTAGTGACAGCTTCCTTGACCCCCTTAAGTGTTCTGGACAGTTTTTGGTTTTTTGTGGGTTTTGGTGTTTTGTTTTGTTAGTCACGGTATCCATACCACCTATAACATCCCGATTTTCCATAACTTGTGTGCTCCGGTCTCTGCACGCCTGCAGAGGCACTGGAGATGCTTTCTAGCACCCAGGCGGCGACAGGTGAATGTGACGACGCGGAGCTGCGGTGCCGGGTGGCCGTGGAGGAGCTGAGTCCTGGAGGGCAGCCTCGCAAGCGCCAGGCCCTGCGCACTGCCGAGCTGAGCCTAGGTCGAAACGAACGCCGAGAGTTAATGTTGCGACTGCAGGCACCGGGACCTGCGGGGCGCCCACGCTGCTTCCCGCTGCGCGCCGTGCGCCTCTTCACCCGCTTCGCTGCGGCCGGGCGCAGCACGCTGCGGCTCCCAGCGGATGGTGTCCCCCGGGCTGGCTCAGTGCAGCTGCTGCTCTCCGACTGTCCCCCGGAGCGCCTGCGCCGCTTCCTGCGCACGCTGCGCCTGAAGCTGGCGGCTGCCCCCGGGCCAGGACCCGCCTCTGCCCGCGCGCAACTGCTCGGCCCGCGGCCTCGAGACTTTGTCACCATCAGTCCAGTGCAACCGGAGGAACTGCGGCGTGCTGTGGCCACCCGGGCTCCAGATTCCTCTCTGGAGAAGCAGCCAACAGAATCAAAGCCTAGTACGGTGAGGACCAGAAAGGGAATCCGATGTGCTATTGTTGAGGATGGAAGAGACCCAGGAGGCCCAAGTTTGGGGGAAGGTGGTCGGCAGTATTAAGGGGACCGCTGGTGATCTGAAATGTCCATCGTACGGCATCTGAGATTCGATCAGGTATGGTCACCCATCTAAGATGCCTGGCACTGAACTGGTGAAAAGCCGGAGGTGGAGGCTAGTATTTGTTGGGATGAACTCCAGGTGAACCAAACCTGCTCAAAGTTCCAAGTGAAGTGAACAGCAAAGCAAAGGGCTGTCTTGCAGTGCATACAGACCAAATGGCATAGCAGAAGGTTCTGAGATAGCCCTGTTCCTTCCAGGAAGCTCCAAGGTGGCCGCTGCCTGTGAAGAAGCTGAGCATGCGCTCCAGCAAACCGAAGCTTTCCGAGGAGCAAGCTGCTGTGCTGCGGGCAGTCCTGAAAGGCCAGAGCATTTTCTTCACTGGGAGTGCAGGTAACAGAGGTAGAATGGGGTGGAGGTTGGGGGTAGCCCTAGGGTGGCATGGAGGAGCAAGCAACCCTGACTTTGCCTACTGTCCAGGGACAGGAAAGTCCTATTTGCTGAAGCATATCCTGGGCTCCCTGCCCCCTACTGGCACTGTGGCCACTGCCAGCACTGGGGTAGCAGCCTGCCACATCGGGGGCACCACCCTTCATGCCTTTGCAGGTAAGTGCGAGCCTATGGGAAAGGAGGGAGAGATCTAGAGGGCTGGGGTTTCGGCAAAGACTAAATAGTGTCCCTCATAGGCATCGGCTCAGGTCAGGCTCCCCTGGCCCAGTGTGTGGCCCTGGCCCATCGGCCAGGTGTGCGGCAGGGCTGGCTGAACTGCCAACGGTTGGTCATTGATGAGATCTCCATGGTAGAGGCAGACTTGTTTGACAAGCTGGAAGCTGTGGCCAGGTCAGTATGTACAGCAAGGGCAGTCACTGAGGTTTGAATCTGGTGATGTCCCCCAGAAGCCTGTCCACCCAACCCTCTAAAGCATTCTCTGCTCCTATCCAGAGCTGTCCGGCAACAGGAGAAGCCATTCGGAGGGATCCAGCTCATCATCTGTGGGGACTTCCTACAGTTGCCACCAGTGACCAAAGGCTCCCAGCACCCTCGATTCTGCTTCCAGGTACTGGCCACACCCTGGCCCCTGACCTGTGCTTTTGGGGGAGTTACACCCTGACTCCGATCCTATGCTTCTTGGGGGAGTCTTCTCTGCTCCCTGACTTAACCTCTACCGTGCCCCACCAGGCCAAGAGCTGGAGGAGGTGTGTGCCAGTGACTCTGGAGCTGACTGAGGTATGGAGACAGGCAGATCGGACCTTCATCTCTCTGCTGCAAGCTGTGAGGTTGGGCAGGTGGGTACTGGAAAAGGGCCCGTGGGATGAGGATGCAAGAATGGGTCTATATTGTTTGTTTGGGGGCAGCAGGCCTCGTGTAGCCTAGGCTGGTCTAGAAGTTACTATGTGGCCAAGGATGACCTTGAACTACTGATCCTCTTGCCTTCATGCCTTCGGTCCTAGGATTTACAGGCTTTGGTAACCACAGCTGGGTCTAGGGAAGTGGGAGAGATATTCGTCCTCAGGAGCAAGCAGTCTGTACAGGAAAACAAGATTTGGACAGGACACTGGACAACTTAAGATAGAATGTAGTCAAGAATGTTATAGCATTGGGCACTGTAGCACACAACACACAGAATGCAAGGGACTGAGGTAGCATCATGAGTTTGAGGCTAGCCTGGGCTATTTAGGGAGACACTACCTCAAAAAAAAAAAAACAAAAAAAAAAAACAAAAAAAAACAAAAAACTAAACCAAACCAAACAACAAACCTACCATCAATACCATACCTCACATAGAAACATAGGAGAGCAGGCTGGGGAGGCGGATCAGTCAGTAAAGAGCCTGCTACACCAGCATGCGGACCAAGTTTGGATTCCCGAGTGCCCACGTAAAAAGCTGGGAGTGACGGCACATGCCTGTAAATCCCTGTGCTGGGAAGGTGAGGACAGGAGAATTCCTGAGCTTGCTGGCCTGGTGAGTAAGCTCCAGGTTCAGTGAGAGACCGGTCTCAACAAAGAAATAAAAGAGATTTAAAAAAAAAAGTGCTGGGCATAGTGGCACAGGCTTTTAATCCCAGCACTCCGGAGGCAGATGCAGGCCTCTGTGATTTCGAGGCCAGCCTGGTCTACAGAGTGAGTTCCAGGACAGACAGACCTACATAGTGAGACCCTGTCTCAGGGGGAAAAAGGCTAAAAGTAAAACATTTACTTCCAGCCTGTAAAAGTGCAAGCGCTCTTACACACACACACACACACACACACACACACACACACACGAGAAAAAAAGATACTCAGGCTAGCTATTTCAGCCAAGGCAGTAGGCAAGTGGCTAGAAGATTGTACCCTAAAGGCCAGTCTGATGATAGGATAGACGGTTTTACAGGGTATCAACACCAGTGTCTTGTTCCAGGCCTGCAAACCTCAGGCCCGAGCTCCCTCATGATATCCTGCTTCTTCAGGAGCACTGTGGGTTCCGAGGTGGCCAGTTCCTCTCGGGGCAGACGCAGGAGTAGCTCCACCTGTTTTCAGAGTCCAGCATTCTTATTGCCATGTCACTGTCCACATCTGAGGGACAAGCAGACTGGCTGGGGGTTGGGTAGCAACAAATCCTGTCCTGGTGCCCTTTTGGGGTCCCAAGGCTTGGCCTGTGCAGCAGACCATACTGCCCCCACCTTTTCTGGTGTCCAGGGCATCTCTGGTCTGACAGTGCAGCCCCTACAGATGTTCAGATGAAGTGACCCGCCAGCTCAGAGCCACAGCTGCCCATAAGGTGGGAAGAGATGGAATTGTCGCCACAAGACTCTGTACCCACCAGGACGATGTGGCCCTTACCAATGAGAAGCGGCTGAAGGAGCTGCCAGGTAAACAGAAAGCTTGGGCTGTCGAAACCAGCTGGGAGGGGCCGTCAACCCCCCCCCACACACACACACATCCCCAGAAAACTGGGCCCATGTTCTGCATACATTTACAGGCAAAACTGTCACCCAAAAGTTGTGGTGAGTTGATTCCAAGGCCCCAGCTGAGCTGCCCCCAGTCCTTTCCCAGGAACCATCTTGATCTAATACATTTTTTGCAAGCGGAGTCACAAGTCAATAAGTTTTTCCAATTCTCCTTTTTTTTCAGGTGAGATACACAGCTTTGAGGCTATCGACAGTGAGCCTGAGCTCGCCCGGACCCTGGATGTCCAGTGTCCTGCTAGCCGTGTCCTTCAGTTAAAGCTGGGGGCTCAGGTGAGAAAGGAGCGGGGGTGGGAGGGATCTCTGATTATTAACACTCTACCAAGGCCACTCGATAGTTGATGGACCTACTGTGACCACTTTCCCCCACTGTCCTGTCTTCAGCTTTCCCTTCTCTCTTCAACATCAAGAGCCCTGTCAAGCCATGCCACCTGGGGTAAGTCAGTTTCCCTTTCTGAAGCTCAGCTCCCAGGTGGCATGGCTCCCCTATGGTGGTCTATAGTAGTATGCCTTATAGATGGGCAGGTTCTGACTCCTCCTTTATGGGATGGGCAAGAACGGTAGACTTTCCTCATTGTCCATGGGGCACACGGGGGATGCGAGCATGGCTGAAAGAGAGGAGGCAGGAGCTGGTGTCATTCCTCAAGGTTTGTGGTCTTCTTAGCAGACTTAATCCCCCCCCCCTCTTTTTTTTAAAACAAGATAACCATGTAGTCCCAGCTAGCCTGGGACTTGTTATGTTAACCAGGGTGGCCTTGAACTCATAGAGATCCGCCTGTCTCTGCTTCCTGAGTGCTGGAACAAAGGTGTGCGCCACCACACCCAGCTAGATCTAACTCTTCTCAAAGTCCTGGGATGCAGGTTACCCTCCTTGCTTTACCACTTTCTCGCCAGGCAAATTTGATGACTAGTAAGCCCCTCTGACACAGGATAAGGCCAAGATATTTCCAGGAAAACAGACAGCTTGTCTGAGAGGTCACAGTCAGCTGGAGTCATGCTCAGAATTGGGACTCAATTCCATGATAGCCTTCATTCTCTCTCTGAACCCTAAGTGCCAGAGAGGAATCAGGCACAAGGAGGGTCCCCTTCCATCCCTGCACTTCCTCCTCTGCAGGTCATGCTGGTGAAGAACTTGTCAGTGTCTCGGGGCCTGGTGAATGGAGCCCGGGGAGTGGTCGTTGGGTTTGAGTCAGAAGGGAGAGGTAAGTGATGATGGAGGGGGTCGTACTGCTTGGGTTTATTTCACAGCAGGACAAGTCATAGGGTGGCTAAAAGGTGGGACCTCTCCATGCCTTCCTCAGGGCTTCCCCAGGTACGGTTCCTGTGTGGGGTCACCGAGGTCATCCACACGGACCGCTGGACGATACAGGTCACTGGGGGCCAGTTCCTCAGCCGGCAGCAGCTTCCCTTACAGCTGGCCTGGGCAATGTCCATCCACAAAAGCCAGGTGACTACCCAGTGCAGGGGTGGGCAAAACAGGGCAGAGAGTGGGCAGGATATGCTGGGACATTCTGGAATGTGTCTTAAAGGCTTTAGGGGGAACTGAATAGCCCTTGGATGGAATGTTCCAGATCAGAACAAAATAAACCTACCGATCTTCTTTCCTTTTCCCCTCTTTCCATGGGGTCTCATGTAGCCCAGGCTAGCCTCAAACTCATTATGTAGCTATAGAGGACCTTGAACTTCTGATCTTCCTACCTCAGTCTCCTCAAAGCTGGTTTTACAAGTATGCACCCCGACATCTGGTTTACGTGGGTGCTGGGGATTGAACTCAGGCCTTCATGCCTGCTAGGCAAGCATGATACCAGCTGAGCCACACCCCTAGCCCTAAGCTTTTCTAGTGCACTTCCTAGTCTACCTTCTTCTCCCCCTTTCTAGGCGTTCCTCTACCATTTCCTGACCATGACCGGAATAGGTTAATCCCTATAACAACCATAGGGAGTGCAGAGACAACCGGTAATAGTTGGTGTTACACAAGGCAGAAAACCAAGATTCTAAAACAAATACAGCTAGTGGAGGGACGGAGTTTAGCTCCATACAGACTTAGCTCTGTACCTGTTTAAACCATTGCTAGAGCTCTTTCTCTTACCCTGTCCCTCAACTCTTACCCTGGATTCCTGTCCCCTGCTTCTCCACTCCCATCATATTCAGACCCAACTAATACTCAGCTATCCCTTGTTTGAGATTCCAGATAGGCTGATAAAAGTCATCCAAATGCAAGAGACTTCAGGCTAAGTTGGCTTTGACTCTCCCTCCCTCCCTCCCCCAGGGCATGTCTCTGGACTGTGTGGAGATCTCTCTGGGCCGCGTGTTTGCCAGTGGTCAAGCCTATGTGGCCCTCTCCAGGGCCCGCAGCCTACAGGGCCTCCGTGTGCTGGACTTTGACCCCACGGTGGTTCGCTGTGACTCCCGAGTGCTGCACTTCTATGCCACCCTGCGGCAGGGCAGGGGCCTCCATCTGGTAAGGAGTCACCTAAAGGTGGGCTTTCTGGGTGTGGGCAGGCTTAGAAGGACAAAGGAAAGGCCTGGTAGGTAGACCCCTAAGACAGCAAATCTTCCTACTGACTCCTCTGCGGTGGAGACAGAAGGAAAGAGGTGCTGGCCCTCAGGCTGTGGCCCTGGGAACAGGATGGGCACAAACCTATGACTGGCTTTCTGGTTCTGACCTAGGAGTCCCCGGATGACGAGGCAGCAGACTCTGATCTGGAGAACATGGACCCAAACCTCTGACTCGGCTGAAAGAAGACCAACAGTGGACCACCCAACTTGCGGCTTCTTCATGGGCCAAGGCCCTAGGGAATAACTGGGGGGGGGGGGGGCTCTCTGTTTCTTCCCTCATTCAGCCTTCTGGTGGGGGGAAGGACATGGTTCCCTGTTTACCAGCTTTGTCAGCGCCACCCCTTTCCCTGGGGAAACTACTTCCAGGGTCAGACGTTGGACACGCTGATTGTTACAGAGGACAAAGCTCTCTGCAAGGCTGGACAAGCAGCCGCAGAGTTCGGAGCCGTAGACTGCGGAGGCAGCGGAGACAGGTACTTCAGCGGCCGCATCACACCCCACAGGCAGGGCCTGTCTTAGCCCATTGCACTGATTTATTTTGTGCACATGGAAGGTCAGAGGACAATTTGGAGGAGTTGGTTTTCTCTTTCCCCGTGTGGGTCCTGGGCGTTAAATTCAGGTGTGGGGCTTGGCGGCAGGCACTTTTACCTCATGAACAATCTTGCCAGCCCCGGGGGTCTGTTTTAATTTTCTTTGTGTTATTTTAACAAAATACACAAGGCTGGGTACTTGATGGAAAAAAAAAAAATGGTTTATTCAACTCACAATTCTAGAAGACTAAGAACACGGAACCAGCCCGTACTAGTATGCCGGGGCTTCATGGCAGTTGGCACCACACAGCAGGTCCATGTGCAGGCATAACCATATAATGAGACAAGCAGCGGAAGACTGTGGAACAGCATCCATCCACTCCTGAGGGCAGGTCCCCCTTGTAGCTGGAGTTTTCCTGCCTGGCCCACAGTCAGGACAAATTTTTATCACCCGCCAATCCCACAGCCACTCAGACCCAACCAAGTAAACACAAGAGACTTATATTGTTTACAAACTGTATGGCCGTGGCAGGCTTCTTGCTAACTGTTCTTACAACTTAAATTAATCCATTTCTATAAATCTATACCTTGCCACGTGGCTCGTGGCTTACCGGCATCTTCACATGCTGTTTGTCATGGCGGTGGCTGGCAGTGACTCCTTCTGCCTTCCTGTTCTTTTCTCCTGTTAGTCACGCCTATACTTCCTGTCTAGCCACTGGCCAATCAGTGTTTTATTTATTGACCAATCAGAGCAATTTGACATACAGACCATCCCACAGCCTGGCCTTCATCACCTTCCATGCACGATCCATCTCTTAAAGAGTTACATCATCTTAGCGCTGCTGCACTAGGGATCAAGCTTCCGGCACGTAAACCCATAAGGAAAACCATCCAAGCCATGGCAGGAGCCTCGAGGGGATACAGGCCAGACACAAACCCAAGGCAGAAGTTTAATTACCTTCACAGCTGAGCTCAGCCTAACACAGCCCCGAGTAAACACCCTTCTGAGCCTGTCCTGAGAACAGACACTGCAAAATGGGCTGTTTTGAGGGGAGAGGTAGTGTTTAGGGCACTGAAATAAATGTTCTCAGGTTGTATTTATTTAGGCCAAATAAACTTGTGAATTGTGTAACTGTGACTCCTGCCTGGTCTCTCTCCCTCACTGAGGGGGTAAACACAGAGATGTTTGTTCAGCCACCACGAGGTCCTAAATCACAGCAACCTGGTGTGAGGCCTGTGAGGTTTTGTCCATAGCAATTGTCATCTGAAAACCTGAGGTATCTGAAGGTGGTGACAGGTGATGGACCAACAAGGTGAGTATCTGTCACCCAAAAGCTAGGACAAAAATACGCTGAGGGAAGTTCTAAGTTCGGGCTCTCCCTGGGACTCTGGCTTTCCAGTCGGATAGGGAAAGAGCCATCAACAAACTATCGCATGGTAGAGGGGCTGGAGAGACGGCTTGGTGGTTAATAGCCTATTATGCTCTTGCAGAGGACGGCAGTTCGGTTTCCAGCACTTGTATCTGGTTATAGTTACAGCCACCTGTAACTCCAGCTTCAGGATGCCAGTAAGGCAGGAGGTGTCTGGTCCCCCTGAAGCTGGAGGTACAGGTGGTTGTGAGCCACTTGTCTGGGGTGCTGGGAATGGAACTGGGGGCCTCTGAAATAGCAGTGCACACTCAGATAACCACTGAGTTCTCTCTAGCCCATGAAGAAATGTTTCCTTACTTCCCAGGAGAAGTCACACCATGAGAAGATCTGCTTAAAGATGCCTTTCCCTGAGACCATTGGGGTGCCCGGAAGTCCTCTCCTCGGCAATCTCCTTGTGAAGATGCTCCTGGACAACAAAGGCCGGCATGTTCCCTGAGGGGCTGCAGATATCCCTGCCCCTGAGGGAAACACGGTAAACCTAGGAGTTCTTTATTTGGGGAGGGGGGACATCTAATTTAATCTGTCCTGGAATGTGCATCCCTGAGGGGTAGAGTGAAATCTCAGACTCCTTCAGTTAGGAGTCAAGACTCCCCACACTGAGCATGTCACAGGTTCAACCACATCACCCAGGGCTTTGTCGTGGCTACTGACACCTGCAGTGACCAGGATCCACAAGCAACAATGACGTCTGGGGTACAGGGAGAAAGGGCAGTCTATCTAGGTGCCTCACACCCCGTAATCCTGTTACCTTCTGGGTGCTCCCTTCTGGATTGCTCCCCAATCTCAAGGCCCCTCCTTTCTGCCTTTCCCCACAGCACCATCTTAAGAAACAGGAGCTAGAAAGCAAATTCAGTCAGGACTCCTTAGGCAGCTTCAGGATTTTAAACAAAGCAGCCAGTGTGAGGATGGTTTAGAATGGGGGAAAAGAAGGGGAACAAGAAAAGCAGAACAGAATGAACAGATTCTCAGTGCTCATCTTACTGTGGGTGATAAAGGGAACTACCTGTCCATCCTTTTTTTTTTTTTTCATGAAGATCGATCATTTACCCCTAACGTGTTGTTAGGTGCTGGGCTCTGCACTGCAGATCCCACAGTACACAGAGCTGACCCAGCCCACCTCAGGATGCTGAAGGAGATCTATTACAGTGGTAAAAATTAGAAAGCCATCCCAGAAACTGTGATAATGCTACACAATCAGAAAAAATAAAGAGTTCACTTACAGGATGGCATATTAGTCAGGGTTCTCTAGAGAAGCAGAAGTTATAGAATGAATGTATCTACACCTACACATGTAAAGGATTTATTAGAACAGCTTACGGGCTCATCCAACAATGGCTGTCTGCCAATGGAAGGTCCAGTAATCCGATAGTTGTTCAGTGTATGAAGCTGGATGTCTCAGCTGGTCTTCAGTATATGCCAGAGTCTTGCAGAAGTAGATTCTAATGCCAGTGAAGGGATGGATTTGCCGGAGATGGCAGACCAAGAGAGAAGCTTTCTTCTTCCGTGTCTTTTATATAGGCTGTCGGCAGGAGGTTTGTCCCAGATTAAAGGATCTTCACTGTTGTAGAATATTATTTTAAGGTGTGTTACTTTTATTTATGTTACATTTGTTTAACTCTGTGAAGCTGTGTTACTGTGCCTGTCTAAAACATTTGATGATCTAATAAAGAGCTGAATGGCCAATAGTGAGGCAGGAAAGAGAATTAGGTGGGGCTGGCAGGCACAGAGAATATATAGAAGGAGAAATCTGGGAGGAGAAAAGAAGTAGTCAGAGAAGGAGGGGGAATCCAGGGGCCAGCCACCCAGCTGCACAGCAAGCCACAGAATAAGGTAAGATTTACAGAAGTAAGAGAACGGGGAAAGCCCAGAGGCAAAAGGTAGACAGGATAAGTTAAAGAAAGCTGGCAAGAAACAAGCCAAGCTAAGGCTGGACATTTATAAGAATAAGCCTCTGTGTGTGATTTATTTGGGAGCTGGGTGGCAGGCCCCCCAAAAGAGTGAAAAACAAACAACACTTTCCACTTCAAAAGATCCCGATTTAAGGTAGGTCTTCCCAATTCGAATGGTTTAGTTAGTAAAAAAAGAAAAAAAAAATCCCTCCCTCACAGGTGTACCCAGCCGCTGATGTAGTCAAGTTGACTTCTAAGAGTAGTCATCACAAAGGGACTCTGAGGAGGGGACATTTGAGCCAAGACTAGAAGCAGAGCAGATGGGGGCCCAGCAGAGGGCGCCTGTGTTCCTGGATAACCTTCTGGCCCCGACTTGGTTTCTAGACTGAAACATCCAGATTAGTCCTTCCAGACTGGCTCAAGTGCCATGCCCCAGGATTCAGGCTTTCTAGGCAGAATGGTCCTGAGTCTGAGCACAGGCACTGGACTGTCCTTAGCAGTGGGACTGTTTCCATCATGAGAAAGCCTCTCAGGCTAGTGGTGGAGCACCTGCCTCTCTGCAACACAAAGCAGCTGTAGAATCTGGAGTGGGGCAGACCACAACAGGGGAATGGATAAATAAAAGGATGGAGGAATGCAAAAGGCTACAGTTAAAGGACCCTGCTAAATGATCCTGTTGCTGCTAGGGGACATCTCTGGTACCTCGGTTTCCATCCTAGTAATGGGATTTCCCAGTGTCACTCTCCAATAGGAGAGCTGGACAGTTTCGGGTGGATGAGAGAGAGAAAATTATTAAGATAGACATTCATGGTGTATTACCCCCATGGAGCTCAATAGTGCACTTTTTCCCCTCTTGCTTTTTGAGACGGGGTTTCTCTGTGTAGCCCTGGCTGTCCTGGAACTAGCTCTGTAGACCAGGCTGGCCTTGAACTCACAGAGATCCACCTGCCTTTGCCTCCCGAGTGCTAGGAATAAAAGCGTGTGCCACGACCACCTGGTTCCACTACTACTTTCTTTTTCTTCTTCTTCCTTCTTCCTTCCTCCTCCTCCTCCTCCTCCTCCTTCTTCATAGAGACAGGATCACTTATATTCCAGGCTGTTCTCATATATTCAAGGCTAGCTTCAAACTCCCTATGTAGGATGTCCTTGAGTTTTTTGATCTTTCCGCTCCCACTTCTGGAGTGGTGGGATGACAGGGTGCACCACCATGCTGGGCTTATGCAGTCTGGGGATGGAACACTGTACAAGCACTCTACCAACTGAGCTATGTGCCTAGCCCAGTGATAGTCCACTTTCAAGCAAGACATGTACCTGTCCTTGAGAGGGTGGCCTGAGAGCTTAGCATAAGGGGGAGCCAATTCCTGCTAAGAGGCAGGCAGGAGATATGCTTGCCACAGTCCCTGCCGCTTCCCAAAAATACCCCTGGCAGGAAGGGAGCCCCACTTCTGGCTGCTTGCTCCTTTGCCTCGATGACCCCTGGGATCTGCATCTGAATTAACTAACAATTTATAAGTTGTCTCAGGACAAGGCCTGATCCCCTGGTCTCCAGGGACCTGGCCTAAGCATTTTTGTATTTTCACAGATTTCAGCACAACATTTTAAAAAGTGGATACTGGCCTGGTGGTGGCAGCGCATACCTTAAATCTCAGCACTCAGGAGGCAGAGTCAGGCGGATCTCTGAAGTTTGAGGTCAGCTTGGTCTACAGAGTGAGTTCCCGGATAACTAGAGCGGCGCAGAGACACCCTGTCCTCGAAAAACCAAAATAAAAATAATAAATGGACACTCTGAACATTTCACAAAGGGAGTACATGTCTACCCTCTGCCTGGGTGGGGTGGTCAGCTATGTAGGATGCTATGCCTTGTAAGACCCTGGTGTATCCTTTTCTTTTTTGTTGTTTTGTTTTGGTATATCTTATTCATTTATGCTGGCTAATGGATATTGCCAGGCCCTCTTAGTCTAAGCACTCACACCACTAGGGGGCACCAAGGAGTCCAACTCCAACTCCTCTCTGGAGACCCTGCAAATCCTTTGTCCCAAAGTCTCCAGCCTGAGTGGGGCACACCCTCACCTCAGGAGCGGGAAGGGAGGGGGCGTTGAGTCAATGTTGAGCTGGAAGTTTCCTTTGTTCAGAAGCCTCCACTGGGCGTTAAGCTTGTGTTTGGGGTTCCTTAGCCCCCTTGTTTTTTTTCTGGGAGGAGGGTGGTACAACTTTCCCTGATGGAGAAAGATGCCTGATGGATGAGCAGCTAGGTGATTTGGCCAAGACCATGCTTGCTAGCTGGGTCTGGAACTCAAGTCCCAGTTATAGGGTTTCCCAAAGGCTGATTCCTATGTTTCAATCCTGGTTCTCCCCTTCTGGACTGTGTGTGACCTTGGGAGTTTCTGCTTAAGTCTCCTGAACTTTGGTTTCATCATTAGTGAAACAGGGTCACCTGCCAGTCAACAGAATTAGAACGATAGGCCCAGGGACACAGGTCATATAGAGTGCATGCCTTTAATTTCAGCATTCCCGAGGCAGAGTTGAATAGGTCTCTGTTCAAGGCCAACCAAGACTATGAGCTGATACCTTGTCTCAGTTAAACAAAATAAATCTCAGAAAGGCTGAAAAGGAGCCAGGTTGGGACCAGCACGAGGGAAACCCTCCAGATTGACTCATATTGTCCTTATTACAATCACCTGGAGGGGTAACTCCCCACCCCGTATATAAGCTCCTTTCCTCAGACTCACTCCATAGGTGCCTCTGTGGATAACAAAAAGAATTAACAGCGGTCTGAAGGACTGGAAAGCCGGCTTCCACAGCCTTCCCTTCCAACTGTCTCCAGCAGAGCTAGGCAGTGCCTACCCACTGTGGGGTGGGGAGAAGCAAGTCTTGTCTCTCAGATTTACCCAATAAATGGGAGATCCTCCCCTTTCAAAGTCCCTCTGTCCTCTGGCCACCTTCTCACCAGAACGGAGTAGAAACTTCTGACCTAGTTTACAGATTTGAGGGCCAAGGTAATAAACTGTAAATAGAAGATGGGCACCCACGAAAAGAATATTTTCTCTCTCTCTCTCTCTTTTTCCAAGACAGGTTTTCTCTGTGCAGCCCTGGCTGTCCTGGAACTCTCTCTGTAGAGTAGACCAGGCTGGCCTTGAACTCAGAGATCTGCCTGCCTGCTGGGATTAAAGGCATTCCAGACTCAGAATATTTTCTTTCTTCTTTTTTTAATTTAATTTTTTTTTCATTTTTCATACTAACCACAGTTCCCCCTCCCTCCCTTTCTCCCGATCTCTCCATCACCCCCCTCCCATCCACTCCCCAGAGAGGGTAAGGCCTGGGGTGTCAACAAAGTCTGGCATACCAAGTTGAGGCAGGACCAGGCCCCTCCCCACTGCATCAAGGCTGAGCAAGGCGTCCCTCCACAGGGAATGGGCTCCAAAAAGCCAGTTCATGAACCAGGGATAAATCCTGGTCCCACTGCCAGGGGCCCTACAAACAGATAAAGCCACACACTGTCACCCACATTCAGAGGGCCTAGTGTGGTCCCATGCAGGCTCCCCAGCTGTCAGTCCAGAGTCTGTGAGCTCCCACTAGCTTGGGTCAGCTGTCTCTGTGGGTTTCCCCATCATGATCTTGACCCCCACCCCAGAATGTTTTCTTGTCCCCTAGCTTTTGTCCCTTAAATTCCACAGGTAAGATGTTATTTTTTTTTTTCCTCTCTCTCCTGAGTGTTTTGCTGGGACATCATGCCCAGCAAAAAAAAAAAAAAAAAAAAAAAAAACAACCATTTTTTTCTTTATTTTGTATAGGGTCTCACTGTGTTTCCTGGTTGGCCTAGAACTTGCTGTGTAGACCAGCCTGGCCTTGAGCCCACAGAAATCCACCTGCCTCTGCCTCCTGAGTACCAGGATCAAAGGTCTGTGCCACCACACCCAGTCAAGACTCCCATGGGGGGGGGGATCTGTGGTTGGTATATAAGATGAATAGAAAATTTCCTTAATAATAATAATAATAATAATAATAATAATAATAAAGAAAAAAGGGGTTGGGGATTTAGCTCAGTGGTACAGCGCTTGCCTACCCTGGGTTCGATCCTCAGCTCAAAAAAAAAAAACTCCCATTAGTGCATTCCAGGAGTCTCAGCAGGTCCAGAGGGGAGCAGCAGGGCAGCCAGGTAACAGGTCTGCTAGATGTGCACGTGTGTCTGTACAGGCCAGCCCACCTTTTGCACGTGTGTCTGTACAGGCCAGCCCACCTTTTGCTGTACATTCCCTTGGTTCCAACCCCTCGTCAGCCTCTCAGCATCCAAGCAGACGCCTGCCACACCCCTGGGGTGGCTCTCAAGTTCAGTAAGTAGAGACCCAGCTCACCTGGGGAGATGCCTAGTGAGACAAGTATCCAGTTACAAACTAGGGCTGGGAGGTCAGACCGGGGGCAGCCCACGGGCAGGACTGACGTTCTAGGAACTGGTGTCAAGGAGGCATACAACCATCTGCCCTCAACACGTGTTTCCATTCCTGGGGCATAAAGACCGTGGCATCGTCTGGGACAGTGGGGCTGTGCCTAGTCAACCGAAAAGGGCTATTCACAACCCTGGGGACGCTGTTATCCTCTGCTGTGACCAGCTCCTCTCTTTCCTCCACCAGAACAGCCTCCCCGCACCCCTCACCCTGGCCCTGGCACAACACATCATGCCTATTTAAGGCAAATCTCCAGATCTTTTAAATAACATTCGCTCCTTGTGAAGAAGGCAGGCCAGGCCAGAGTTTAGGAAAAGGGGGTGGGGGTGGGGCAATAACCGCTCAGAGGGCGGGGTGGGGAAGACCAAGAGTGAGGAGGTGCAGATGTGAATTTCTCTCCTCCACGGGGTGTCTTGGAAAGATCCCAGCCCACCCCCCCACTCCATTTGTTCTCAGGACTGGCTCCAATCCAGGAGGGAGGTACTCCCAGAATGCTAGTGTGTCCCTAGCTGGAGTCCAGGTGGAGTGGGGTGGGAAGGGGTGAGATTTTGTATGCAGGAGGGATGTATGCTGGGGTGAAGGAACACACGCAGAGTGCCCAGCAGGGGAAGTGGGAGAGCCTGCAGGAGGACTGACCACTAACTGACCTCACAGACAGCCCAATGTGAAGGATGAACCACACTGCCGTCTGATTCTATAACTCAAGGCTCAGAGCATCCAAGAGACCTGCCAAGGGCAGCACAGCTGGTGAACACCAGGGTTGATGTTTTTCTGCCCCACCCTGCCAGGTTTCTTTTGCTTGGGACACATGGGACACGGTAACTCTTAGCCCAGGCCAGGCACCATTCAGAATCCACCCCGACCCCTACCTTTCTCTTTCTAGCTCCTGGTAGGCCCACCAGATCAACTTTTTGTCTCACCTGTAACTCTGCCCCAGACCACCTCGATTTCTTCCTCTCTTGCTCTTGGTATGTCTTCCCCAGGCAGGCCCTCCCCATCCCCAGCTCTGCATTGCCAATCCACCTGGGGTCCTCACATGACTGATACCTTTCCAGGGTTCAAAAGGAGACATCAAGGGTCTTTTACAGATCAGGTTGCCTAGAAGAACCAGGCACTCACTTCACAGCTGTGTAAGCCACAGTGCGAGCTGGCCCCCACCCTGTGTCAGACTGGATTGCAGCTGGGACAGGAGGGGGTGAAAGCCCTGGCTTGGCTTTCTTCTGGTCACTTAGAGCTGAAAGAGCCACAGTGGTCCAATTAGTGGTCGGGGAGTACAGAGGAGCAGACTGTGGCCCTGAGAACGGCCCTTGGGGGTCCCAAAGTGAGAAATAAGCTTAGGTGGGTCTGATTGGGACCTCAGGTGAACCTCAGTCCCTGGGGTCTACTATTGGAGATTTGGCCAGTCTCAATGCCTGTGTTGGGGGGCTGCATAGGAGTGAACTCTAATAGGTCCTTAAACTTGTCGAGGTCTTTTTAGTCGGGCTCTATTAACCCTTTACATCCTTGGTCAAAGGTCTTCCCCTCTTTGGGCCTCTGCCACATGGATGGATTATATAGATTGTTTTGTTTTTGACAAGGTCTCATGTAGCCTAGGCTGGCCTCAAACTGTAGTGAAGGATGACCGTGAACTTCCAATTCTTCTGTCTCCACGTCCCCAGTGCCAGGATTACAGGCTTGCATCTATCTGCCCAGTTGATAGGGTACTGGGGGGCTGAACTCGGTGCTTCACGCGTGCGAGGCAAGCAAGCACTCCACCAACGGAGCCACATCTCTGAGATCCTGGGCAGACCTCCGTCTCCTGCCAGTCCAGCCACATCCGCACAGATGCCAGCCTGCCTTCAGAGCCCACTGGGAGTCTCCAGGATCTCTGGCTACCAGCCTTCCTTGGGAAGACCTGCCCCCCACGTGACCCTGAGTTCGTGAAGCTTTAGAACCTTCCAGGTTTCTCAAAGCCTGACTCAGAACAATCCACCTCATCATCCAGCACTTAGCCTGCCCTCCTGCACCCAATCTCCTCACTGCCAGGGACGATAACAAGCCCTCACTTGGGGTCTGGAGGTGGATTAGCACTTAAGAGCACTTGCTGCTCTTTCAGAGGATTTGAGTTTGGCTCCCACAGCCACATTGGGCAGCTCACAAGCACCTGTAACTCCAGCTCCAGGGGACCTGACACCCTCTTCTGGCCTTCGAAAGCACCTCACTCCTGCACACACACACACACACACACACACACACACACACACACACACACACACACAAATCTCAGAACAAAGCAAAGCAACCCAGCCTTTCACTGGGACGGCTCCGAGACTTTTCCCTGAGGAGTCTGGCCAATGCTGGGTGTCTTGGCCAGTACCTCTAGCTTCTCTCCTAAAAGTAGAGCTGCCCACTCCATTCCCAGGCTTCTTCACTCAAGCTGGCTCGGTTCAAGTCCCACTCTTTTCGAGAGAGGCCGGTCCCCTTCTGTAGGCCTAAGAGAGAGGGGACGTCCACCTTCCTGCCTCCGTGGGCAGCACCCCTCATCCTATGGAGATGCAGAACCGGGGGTTCCTGGAGACCCCACTAGCGCGACACTTGCTGTAGGAATGGCACACTACTGTCTGTGGTTTTCATGTGAGATTGTCTTTGACCCTCAGAAACATCTTCACTGCCAACTGTAAAGACACTTGAGTCGAGCCTCAGCGAAGCCTCCAACTCCCAACTGGAAGTCTTGACCCTGTTTCACCTTGTTTCAGTGACTGACCAATGAACTCTTGGGACAGCCCCGCCTCTAGAGCCCAGGGACAAGCTGACAGGAAAAGGAAGCTATTTGGATGGTTAAGAGAGAAGCCAGAACCTGAACGTTCAGCAGAGTCTGAACACTGCTCACGAATTGTAAGATGTTGGGGAGGCCACATGCTTCCAAGCTTCAGGTTCCTCATCAGTAACATAGGGCTGGTGCCTATTCTACCCCAGGACACAGGAGTCAAATGATGCGTACAAACTGACTAGCTCAAAGCCTGGCACCTCACTGGTGTACACACAAAACAGTAAGATTAGGTACAGTGGTGCATGCCTGTCGTATAGTCCAACCTAGGCAACACAGTGAAACTACACATCACAAAACAAATCGAGGCGCTGAGGAGTTGGCTCAGCAAGGAGGGGCACCTTGAGTTCATCCTCAGACCCCACTGATGTGGTGTAATCCCAGAATTTGGTGAGATGGGAGGCAGAGACCAGAGAATTGCCTGAAAGCTCATGGGCCAAGTAGCCTGAAGTACACGGCGCAGCAGCAGAAACCACGGAGGCCCTGAAACCCAGCCTGAGCAGTGGAAGGTGACAAAGGTCCTGAAGGTTGTCCCAACCTCCACATGTATGGTATGGCAGACCTCCACATGTATAGTATGGCAGACCTCCACATGTATGGTATGGCAGACCTCCACATGTATGGTATGGCAGACCTCCACATGTATGGTATGGCAGACCTCCACATGTATGGTATGGCAGACCTCCACATGTATGGTATGGCAGACCTCCACATGTATGGTATGGCATGCATGTAAACACGCACACACACACATATACACACACACACAAAATCATAAATAAATAAAAACTGGTAGCTATAGCTCTTGGGATGTTTTGTGATGTTGAGGATTGAACCTAGGGCATTAGCCCATGCCAGACAAACCCTCTACTACTGATCTGGACAACTGTTGGGGGTGGATATTGTAGGGAAGTCAATCTTAGGT